ATGAAGCCACTAGCACTTTAAATGATGCAGAACAGAATCAATTCTTCAAAGGAAAAAAAATATATTGAAAAAAAAGTGGAATCCCGCAGCTAATGGATAGGTCAAAGAAGTGCAGGCTTTGTTTTCAATAAAAAAAAGGACAAACACGTTCATTTACAAACCAGTCTTCTTTATTTTCCAGTCCAAAGTGTGGATATACAAACACTTTATTCTCATATCCATCAGCCATGGCCTGACATATCTAACACCTACAGCAGAGTGACAGACAATGGCTCCATCTACACACCACAGTAACACAGGGGAGGTAACTGAGGCTGGCTTGTCTCATGGCAAGGTCCCAGGTGGGACTCCATTTTGACCAAGTACATTAACATCTACATCTAACGATCAGATAGTTGGTCGTGGAAATCCACAGATCTTTTTTCCCCCACATAATACAATTCATGTTGGATCAAACAGTGTATACAGATGAATTATGAAACATGCATACAAAATGAGCAGAGTAAACAACAGATGGTTCATCAAGGTTCATGGCATTTTCGGAATCTCCAAACGAACCGAGTTCACATGACCTGGGCCACAGACCAGATACCATAGACAAGCCAGTGTACAGTAGTACCTATCTGCGTTCCTATGACTTGTTAGACAGTCTCCATGGGTTCCACCTAATACCTACATGATATTTATATATGTATATATACTTATCTACAATAGCAGCAGCAGTAGCAGCAGACGCTAAAAGAATGAAGGGCTGTCTCCTCTCCTTGTCAGGAGGCAGCAGCATGTCATATAGGAATGAACAGGTTAGGTCATTCACAGAAAATAATCCCAACTTCAATTTAGATTAGCTGCAAATTTCCTATGTTCAGATCTGGCTGCATCCATCAAATCTCCCCACGAAATAAGGCTCTGAACTGAACTGACTCTAGACTGAACCAAACTGTTTGGTGGTCTAAGCAGAACATTGGACTTGATATGGCAAGACTCAGACTGGCTTGGGCTGGTTTGAACCGATTTGAAGTGGAAACAGCCAGACTGGACAGGATTGGATCGGATACAAACCAACATACAAGGTCATCAGGAACTGAGGTGAAACTGTATCTGGTAAAGAGACTTACGGGAAGAAATTGTTAGAAGTTGTATCTCATGTTAATAACATTGATGTTAGTTTGTACCTGTTCACAATCAATAACATTAAAAAAAAAAACAGTTTCAAGGAAATTTGCAGCCAACTTACTCCTTACTGTATTCAAACATCTGATGAAGTTCATTGTAAGTACCTTAGGCTATTCTACATCAAACAATCACATAAATTCGAAAAAAAGTATGATTTCAAGCAAAGAACTTAACTGTCATGAGACGAAGAATTTCACTGTCATCATCTAAACTATGGATGTAAAAGAGTAATGAACCTGTGTACTGAGCTCAGTGAGGTATCTCTGAACCATTTAAATACATTTGAATACACTAAAGATTTGTCAGATCAAAGGATGTCTTGGAATGTATATCAGTTAGATGGTGTGCAAAAGTGGAGTACATAATGCACATAAACATAAACAAACTGACTAGAACCTTGCAGGATGGCAATATCTTCAGCGAGTATGCATCTACATTGAGAATTTCAAATCATGTAAAGCAAACGTACATATTCACTTCATAGGCAATTAATCAACATGTATAAAATGCTGTTCTTAGCCATAAATTGGACTTGTGTCAATTCAAAGATTATAATCAACTCATCGATGATATTATGATTATAGAATAATCGAAAACAGTAAAAGTAGAGCTACAAAACTCACGTAAAAAAGATCTATAAAATAAACTTTGACATTGCCTATGGGGTAAATATGTCGATAAATTTTATAAATAAATTATACCGATATTAAGCTAAACATTTTGTCTCTGATATGTACAGCATACGTCTGATCAAAATTGTAATAAATAGGAATAGTGATATTTCATATGAAGAATATCAATGTTATGAAACAATACACTGTATACAAAATGGTGGTGATTTTATTGGGACTATTTTCTGTTGAGGACTTGTCATGATAGACAGTGCTTACCATACCTACATATGAAATACTAACAGAAGGTCATAATGCTTACTTTGTTGAAATAATGATTGGTTTACTCTCTCAACCTTACAACAGTAAATACTAAAGTGAGTGGGACTGTGTTGGCTAATGAACCCAAAACACGATGCTCTCACATCAACACCCATAACACGATGCTCTCACATCAACACCTATTACATGATGCTCTCATCAACACTTCTCCTGAGAGGGTAATTAACGTGGAAGCAAAGCTTGTCATAAATATACCAATATTACAAAACTGCTTGGTTATTTGAATTTCAAACACTGACCTGAATCGTCTCCAATAACATGATATGCAGATTTAACACTTAAAAAAAATCAACAGCAATTCTTGGTGGGTAGTACTTTCTCAAATTTGTAAAAAAGCCAGGAAAATACAAAGAACACTTGATCCTGGAGTCTTACTATATTTACATCCCTGATACAAACTTTAAAAAAAAATAATTAAAAATTGATGTTTATTACCTTTCTGTATTTCAGTTGGCATAACAATCTTGCCTGAAGTGCGTCCTCCATCAACCTTCGAGGCAACTGATCTCCTACCTCCCACAAACATGATTGGTCACTATTGCCAGTCCTCACTGACGTCCAAACTAAATGATGCGTAGAAAATGAAGAGTTTGCTGGATATTATAATTATACTATCCCAAAACTACCTGAGCTTTTAAACTGACAACAGCAGGGCAGCATGTTGGACAACCATTTAACGTTAACTGTTGAATCAATATCTGCTTAGAAAAGAAGGTAATCTCGGTTCAGAGGCCGAAGGTATATAGGCGTCACAAAATAGGTGTTGAACCAACCATCAACAACCAATGGTCGGTCAACAACGTCGAAAATTATGACTTTTATACTTTTATACAAACAACAGTAGTGTGGAATTCAAAAATTCAAATAGATAAAGTTCGCTGAGATCGTCACTCCGGCGCGGAGTGTTAAACACGATTTGCTGGTACTCTCGTCAAAACTAAGCATATGTATTTATGAAGGTATTAATGTCACATATAAAACTGTACAATGTCACGTGTTTGCTTGTGATAATACAATACTTACAAATGGTTAGGAGAACACCAGGTTGCATTGATGCATACAACTGCACCACAAAGCCCGGAACAAAGGAAAAAAAAGGGTTCTAGGATAATATCATAACGTGCATTCACTGCATCAATGTTTGGGAAACGTTCTGAGTGTTAAACTCCGCTAAGCAGGAAACAGGAATGATGGGTAGCCACGTGAGGAATCGCGAGAAACTTGTACACTTATTTGGAAAATTCTTACCCTTGACTACTGAGGATGATGACCTATAAAAGTAACATTTTGTCAACTGGTCTACTGTACCACATCGATCTTAAAACAGTAAAACACATTCTAAAATATTGCATTGTGGGATACTAATTAACGATCAATCAAACGAATAGATTAAAAACTTTCTATCATTAATGCATGCCCCCAAAGAATTTTTAAAAAAAAGATGGAGGTTGCCTGCGTGATTTATGAAAACGGAAAATTAACTTGACCATTCTTTTGACTATTTTGGATAAGAACAACACATGCATGTGTACGAGTTTGACCGAGTTAGGATAGTAAGATATTTACATTGTGGTGATAGGTATGATGGATAGCCCCCAGCGATGACACATGACCCAAGACGAATACCGCCCTCTACAAGCTTCCACGGACACTTACAAACGTCTCAACTTACGAAAAGCTGTGGCAAATAAAACCTGCAATTTGTACAGAGCTGAAATTTGGCACAGAAACCAACTTGCTAAAACAAGGCCGACATGTAGGTTTATAAGCGAATTGCGAGACCCCATAATACCACGCCAACCAATAGTAGAGTGTATATATATATATACGTCGCACATTGGGAGACATTTTCGTAGACAAAAGCTGTATTTACAGAATCCTTTCACCCACGGACAACATGAACATTAAAATCATTGACTTTTCTACAATGGACTAATATTTATTTCACATGCAACAACATTATACACAGAATCTCAACCTCACGTTGTCACTTTCATATATGCCATCAATCAAACAATTTTCAACAATCCTAATAATGATATTAATAATATATATTTTCAACATCTTTGTACAGAAACCCCGTCTGTTGATGGTCGGTTGGTCGGTGGTGTAGTAGTGATTTACTGTTCTATTGTAGGGCATGTCACCGTTAATTGCTGATATTTTCTCTACTTAGTGAGCATGACCAACCTAGCTTGGTAAAAACAAACATTATGAATACTATGTACATTGCTAGATACATGGTACAGCGCGGTACTCTCATCAATTTTCCAGTTAAATTATACATCATATCAAAATATAGAGAATTGGCTCTCTTTCGTGTTGATGTCAATACAGACCTGTAAGATGAAAAATGAAGTTTTACAAATGAGTCAACAGTCAATAGAATAATAGCAATAATAATAATAATCATCAAACTGCTGGTAACAAAACCTATCATACCGTCACGTCTAGATGGTGGACTCTTAGGGTGAAGAGTAACTGGGGTTACCAACAAAACAAAACAAAACGGATTTATCATGTTCAAGCAAGGAAAGAGGAATTACTGTAATTGACGTGATTGACACCCTACTGTCATTTACATGAATAGCCTTCCCTTCCAACAGTGGAAAATGAACATCAGAATCCCCTTCATTCCAACGCTGGAAACTAGACATCAAAATCCCGTTCACTCCAACAGCCTAACTAGACATCAGAATCTCCTCCCCTACATTGGAAACTGGACGTCAGAATCCCCTTCATTCCAACGCTGGAAACTAGACGCCAGAATCCTCTTCTTTCTAACACTGGAAACTAGACGCCAGAATCCTCTTCTTTCTAACACTGGAAACTAGCTAGACATTAGAATCCCCTTCTTTCCAACACTGGAAACTAGACGCCAGAATCCCCTTCTTTCCAACACTGGAAAGTAGACATCAAAATCCTGTTCATCCCAACAGCCTAACTAGACATCAGAATCTCCTCCCCCACATTGGAAACTGGACGTCAGAATCCCCTTCCCCTCCAACACTGGACATAGGAATCCCTTCTCCCCAACAGTGGAAACGAGATGTCAGAATCTCCTTACTTCAAACTGTGGAAGCTGTATATCAGAATCCCCTTCTCTCTAACACCCTAAATCAGAATCCCCATCTTGTCCTTCGCCTCATCACGTATGTGTGTATCTGAACAACTACACTAATGGAGTTTTCCAATCAAAATTAGTTTGGACATGTCATGTTAACTTTGTCGAGGTTGAGTTCTAAACATTGTTTTCCAATAATTAATGATCTAAAGCGTATTAGCAATGACTATTATCTCGTCTGTCCTTGAGAGAGTCTCATAACCACCAAGTAATTGCTTAAATACCCAGGATGCCAATTACGTCAATTACAGTATTTTGAACCAAAATGTGCGCTATAGGTAGCAGAACGGTAGCAGCCATACTGGCTCTCTCGTACAAGGTAGTAAAATGGAAGGTTGACGTCCGTCCAACCAATGATTAGCTACGGGCTCTGCGAGCTAACGTACAAAATAGATCAAAGGTCATTCCGACCTTTCTCGCACCACATGATCACAGAGGTTGGTTTTTCACAATAAATATTAATGAGCATTTGTCAATCATACAACACTGTACAGAGTCATAATCGACAGGGATAGAAGATATCTCGCTGTGACGTTACCAACTTCTGTATAGACTTACAATTTACACAAGAAATACCTGGGGAAAAAATCAATCTCTACCTCATGGACAAAAAACAAAACAATTTTTTTTTAGTACGTACATGTACACATGGACTTCACCACAGACATACAAACACATGAATGTTTCCACTACTAACTAATCTACCTATTTGGACTATGTACAACGCATGTAAAGACGCCGTCTTAGTTTCACTGGATCCCCATCGAAGCTGCGTCCATCCGTCTGTCCATCTGACTTGTCGCTATCTTTAGTCTGGGGACAGATGGACATACAGACGGCTGGTGAATGGCGGCGGTCAGTTTCCGGTCACTTGTTTCCTGGACAAGGAGTGTACTACTGAGATAACCCTAGATGAAGGTTACTGTGCTTGCTGGTAACCTGAAACAAACCACGCGAACCTTAGACCAATCAACGCTCAACGTCACATCTTAACAAAGACAAATAGTATTAAAGGAGTCACAAAAAAACATTGCTGCCATTACTTTAGAATGAAGCATTTTATCTGTATCTGCTGAAAATGAAATTGAAAAACAATACTTTTTGACTTAACACTATCATTATGATTTTTGAATATTGCCGGGTGTAAAAACATATTTACCACCAGGATGTGTAATAAATTATGATTATTTGCATAGGTATTATTGATCAGGTTCTTATAAAGGAGCTCTTGTCTCTGGGATCTGGCACCAGCAAAAAAAGATTGGTTTGTACACAAGTGCTTGTCATCAGCTGATGTGCTGGCTCACACAAGCTATTGCAAAATATTTCAACAAAGGAGCATTCAAGCCTGTTCTTTACAGAAACAAGTGCCCCCTTAGAACCAGTCCTTCACAACAACTGCCTTCAGTAAGTAAACAGTATACAAACATATAAGGCCATACAGTATTCAGATGGCCGTGCTGTCATTCAAGCAATACCCTTCAGATTCTGAAAGAAACAGGAAGGAGGAGGGAGGGGAGTAAAGGGCGGCTAATAAGCAGCATGCAGCGCCAAGATGGACAGACAGACAGACAGACTGGTGGTTAGATAGTGCCATACACAAAGTAACAGCAAGCAAAACTCTTTGAATACCTCAAATTCATATTTTGGGTCTAAATCTGCAATGTTGGAAAATGCAGCCCTAAATACATTATTTATTATATTTAAGGCCAAGTACTGACTGACTGAGTTTAGTTTTTGCCGCTTTTAGCAATATTCCAGCAATATCACGGCGGGGGACACCAGAAATGGGCTTAACACATTGTGCTCATGTGGGGAATCGAACCCGGGTCTTCGGCATGACGAGCCAACACTTTAACCATTAGGCTACCCCACCGCCCCTTAAAGCCAAGTAACTTTATAGTTACAGAGTATATTGTTCTTATATCAGGAGTCAGCTAGTATTGAGGTATGTATAATTATATAATCTCATATAGTCCCAACAACGTAGCCTGTTTTGCTGCCATTTGGTTCCTGTGTAGTGTTTTATGCAGAACCATCCAATACATTATCACAATTTCTATAACCAAACTAAAATTGTTCCTCGGTGTATTTCTTGCCAAATATTCCTTAAAAGCGGTGAATAAAACATGACATTTAAAATTCAATTGATGTCTTTATCAGATGAAGGCTAAATAATAATAGCTCATAATATATGTTTTCTGTAGCAATACTCAATTGAATTGAGTGAGGTTTTATCATAGCCCAGCAATATCAGAGCTGACACCAGAAATTGGCTTCACTCTTTGTATGTGGGTTAATTCAACCTGGGTTTGCCTGTTTTGTTCAAACAAAATATCCTAGTACTTAAAAATGAGATTTCCTGCATAACGTGTCAGACATATTATCGACCTTAGTCCTCACTTGCTGAAAAAATGATTTCTTCCATGAAAATATTCAAACTGATGTGAGTCTTAGGTAATGCTCACATTTCATTGATTAATAACACACCAGACTGACCAAATGAATCCCAATTCGATAAACAAAATTTTTTACTTAAAAATGAGATTTCAAACGTGTCAGACATAGTTGTATCCGACTTTGAAAATCCCCAAACCGTGAAATCTTTAAAAAAAACCCAAATAAGTCCTTGCCATTGTCACATACCCCATTTGTGAATCCCCAGTGTCTTTATGTCATTATTAAAGTCTTTATGTCATTAAAAGAGAAAAACCTGTCAAGCACTTACAAAGAAAATCTATTTATGCAAGGGCATACATGTTAACTGGAAAGTTCAACCATTTTAATCTGTCAGATTAACTTTTTGTTGATCTGCCTTCGACATATTAATCTCTTATTCTCTGATCTTCAAGGAAAATGTAGAACTGCAAAATTATGTTAGAAAGGAGCACAACCTAGGAAGATTGGGTCGTCAGCTAACAGGCCTCACGGGGGATGCCAGGACCCATCATTATGTTCGCGACAAGTTTTCCGAAAAGATAATTACCCTAGGGAAATAATGATTAAAAAAATCCTAACAGGTCAGATTAAATCAAATTTAAGTTGTACAAAGGGCAGTGAGAACACTAAAGATTCCTTCGAGGAGATTGGTAAGGTTAACAAATCGTACGTGCATGCAATTCAGCATTTTTCTACAACCACCAATCTTTAAAAAAGAGAAAGAATTCATGATCATCAGATACCTTTCATTATTTATTCATTTCTCTGTGACTGCTGTTTGTATGTGATCGGTTATATCCATTTGTCAAGAGAAACGTAACACTAAACGCTTGTAATTTGTCTTAACAAAACCATCTTGATTGAATTCTGAAAAATTCTCATTAACATCATTGCCATTTTGCGTTTTTTAAAAATGTCATTGGTTTTAACAATCTCTCATATCATCAATACTTCAATGAAATTGATGTACTTTCTTCACTCAAATAGTTATGCCAAATACGGTTTTCAAATTAGCTTTATATTAATTCCAGCATGTTTCACGCTATCTGCAAACATTTTGAAAGCCTTTCTGAACTTTTATCGACTTGAGAAGTGTAAGTCCAATATTGCTTTTAGAGGCTACTCAAAACAAATTGACAGTATAATTAATAAATACTGTCAAACTTCATGCCCTCTACTGCTATCATTACGTAATAATAACCAATAAAAGAACAGTTAATCTCTTTAAATCATTTATCATCATCATTCTGGCCCAGCGATTTAGCCCCTTTATTGTTTTATGAACAGGAGGCTGATGAAAACAAACATATTAGGACTGGGATACAGTCTACATGGAATCGGTAGACTGATGTTTCTAGACTGGTTGCCTGTCCGACCTCACTCAGCTCAAGGCAATAAACCAGGTGGGAATCGATATCCGATGAGACGATAAATGTTATAGGGAGTTTAATACTATCTGATTCACAATAAACCTAGCACACGGAGTTGGGGGTACTCTGCAAGATTTAAATGTCATCGAGATTGATGGCAGTTGAGAAGGGGGGATGGCCACGCCTGGACAATCTCCACCAGTCACCACTCATGGTCATTTCCAGAAAATCCTTGTCCCGAAAAAAAATCCCTGCTTACTTTTTCATCGATTTCTAAGTCTAGCATAGCTTGTAGCACAGCTGCTGTCTTGTATCGCGTCATTTATGTAATATAATGTATTAATTGGTTCTGTGTATTGTATACACCAAGTTATTAGTTTATTCAATGTACTCGAAACCTGGATGTGTGGAAACAAATTAGTTTTAGAACTTATGGAAATGACTGTTGCCATGCTGGTTTCTATTGTCTGATGTTGTTATACACATCAATATCTATGTAATATATATGCAGATGGAACTATTTACTGGCAGGTTTATTAAACTTCATATAAGAAAGTGATATGATTGATTATAACAGTTTGAAGAGCCAATTATATTAAAGTTACAGCGTTATCCAATACATGTATCAACCTATTACAGGAAGTGGACTTATTCTGAGAAAGTATTGCAGTAATTTGTCCTAAAAAAGTTTGGAATTAATTTTTTGCAGGAACTTATCCACAAAGTCCAAATCTTTCTACGAGCCAGTCATATACTAATAAGTGATATTAGGTCGAAGATGATTGTTAATCCCATACCTCAACATAAACTTCCGAAAAGTCCTAAGATTGCTTTGAAGAGGGTGTCTATCTCAACAGTATGTCCTTGATGTTAACAGACCAAGGATCACAACTCTGGTGAACCTCGTATTGAAACCCATTTTCAGCAGATCCTGACATTTAAGGGGCATAACTCTGTGCTGGAATTAACCTCCATAAACCGGAGACAACTAAGCACAACAAACAATTGCCATACAAGAAAAAAAGTCAATATTCAGTCTACACTATTACTACATAAATGTTTTTGAAACTCTCCCAAACCACAAATCATATTTTTCTCCTCTGTGGACCAAGATGTTTTGCAGTTTTTTTTCATTAATGTTTCTCAATTATTCCACCCAAAAGCAATCACCGGTTTCCAGTTCCCCATTGAGAGAGCTGATGCAGACGTAGAACTGCCTGTTCTTGCCAGAGAAAGGGAGATGATATCAGACAGATGGGCACAAGAATAAAACTCCTGGCACAATTTCCATTCATTTAGAAGAAAATTCTTTCCATTTAATTCATGCTGGTGCAGAAACAGAAGGACAGAGAAAAACCAGAGTAGGACTGACTATTCTGAAGCCATCTGCTGGACTAGATTATGCAGCTACAGAGTTACAAGCAGCTCTACATATGACACAAAGCGGACTGCTACAGGACGACAGACAGATGGAGTATGAGCGAGACATGAGTTTCTATATCAAGCGCTTGCGACTAAAATTGTGAAAGTGATAGAAGTGTTTTGTGCAGAAGGAACAAATTGTAAAAATGTAAAAATATAAAATACTATGCAATAAACCAGTGAGATGGCATAAAAAACAGCAAACTGTTGCTCCTCTTCCAAGTGAAGGGAAGGGGGAAAAAGTCATAGGCATTGAAAATATGCCTTGTTAAAAAAGCTTTGATCACAGTTGTCAGTATGGAAACTAATATTGACCTGTAGCTTAACAAGATTTGGAATGTGTTCATACAAAATAATCAAAGCAAATTGTTGATCATGAAACTTTTATGAATCAAATGAACATGGTCTTCAAAAGCAGTTTTGTTTCAATCATATTTTCACGGATGAAAACTGTCCATAATGTTCGGCTGAAAAATTCAGGCAAGCAGCCTCATTAACAAATATTTTTGAACAGTATGAAAACTTCTGAAACCTAAAATGAAATCATCATTTGAATGTTTTCCCAGACGATGAGACATGAACAAACCAGACCAGCCAACTGACTTCAGTGGAAGCGTTACCCAACAAGATGAGAAAGCATGTACCCTTCGGTGCCACTTTAAACACAGCACACACTCGCAACAGACAAACAGGGGCAGGATATATATCAGATATATACACTGGATAGATATATCAATATATGATATGTATATATTTGGCACACACACTAACTACACAACAAACCTAGTTGGGGAATATCCTGCTCATCTGTAGAACAAAAACAGTATATATAACAAACAAACTAGGGCTGTATAACCATTATCACATACTCTAACCCTAATCTTCTACAATTATCAAATAAATAGAATATAGCCTAAAAGCATAGAACTGAAAATCATAAACACAAAATTTGAAAATGCTTAATTAATTTAACCATTAACTTTTTCAAAGTATTGATTATTTAAGTTGGAAAAGCTGTAACGCACTCTGATCAATTTTTTCAGTAGCCATCATAATACATTACAATGAACAAGAACGTGTGATTACAAACAAAAGAGCAGAAAAAAACAGTATTATCCACTCATAACCAAACCACACAAGAGTACATGTTTAGATACAAGATTCCGGACAGCATTCTAACTTGCAAACGAACCAATCTGCCCAAGGCACCACAGAAGTCATTAATAGGCCTACAAGAAGTAGCAACGATTGATATTGACAAACTGATATTGGTGTTTAGTACGCTCAATGGGGGCACAACTTAAGTATTGACAATCTAATACTAGTGTTTAGTAGGCCTTATTGAGATCATGTCGTGTTAGTTAATGTGCAACATGCAAACCAAACGGTTAACTAACTACTAACAAGTCGTAGCTCTGCGGCCAGGTGAAGTCTGTCTCTCTAAAGCTCTTCACAAAAAGTTCCGACCACGCAAACCGTAAAGACAGCCCTCCAGGCAGGAACGAGGGCTGTATTTGCAAATAGTATCTAAATGCCTTCTGGTTCAGGCGGCAAATTTGATAATTCTCAGGGGACAGGTTGTTATGGATTTTTCCTTTATCAAGATTCTGAGCAGATCACTCAATGTTGATACAAATGAAACATACAGGGGAATTGCAGCACAAGCTCTGTAGACAGAATTGTCATTGGAGGAAGTATGTATTCCAAATGATTGTTTTATGCTTGATGTTGATAGAGCTTTGAAGAGGAAGCATGGGTCTCAACTCAACATCTCTTCAGCTAAGGCTGGTTTACCTGTCCTGCGGGATAAATTCCCTCATTTATCCTTAATCTAGTTTGTGTTCTTAAAACCTAATCCCATAAATCCAAGACAACATGGTACTAAAAGAGACCTACTTTTGAGACTATGTATTAGTTACTGAAGCGTCTTACACACAACTAATAACCTTTCCTGATCAGATATGTTGACAACTTAAGTATTTATTTATTGTTTTTCTGTCAATGGGAAAATGTTATCCTAATTAATGTTGGGTGCATGAGTGGGGGGTGTTTGTTAGTGGTTTTTGCACTTCATATCCCATCAATTATCCTTAAAATGAAAACAATGCCAAAGAGTGAGTGAGTGAGTGAGTGTGAGTGAGTTGGGTTTTCGCCGCTTTTAGCAATATTCCAGCAATATCATGGCGGGGGAACACCAGAAATGGGCTTTACACCCATGTACCCATGTGGGGAAACGAACCGAGTCCTTCGTCGTGATGAGTGAACGCTTTAACAACTAGGAACCCCACCGCCCCAAATGCCAAAGAACACTGAAAGGCATGAGGGAAAGAGTAGGAAAATGGATTGAGTGGATGTTACAAATCTTTCGCTGCTTTTAGCAATATTCCAGAAATATCCCAGCAGGGGACACCAGAACTGGATTTCACACAGTATATCAGGTCTTCGGTGTGATGAGCGAATGCTTTTACTGCAAGGCTACCCCCTAACCCACTTGTCCCTAGCACATGTTAGTAGCCTCGAGCTTGTGGACAAGCATGAGTTTCAAAGGCTGTAGCCCCTTCTATGATTCCTGCTCTTATCAACGTTCACTGGCCATCTATAATGTGTAAAGACACAAGTCCAACCCAAGTTACTCCCATCTACAGTCCGTTTGAGACAAAATGATACCGATGAATTGCAATCTCACACAAAAACAAATAGACTTATAAAAGAATCAAACCAAATAAAACAACTGACCATCTCTAGAAAATAATTGCATAATTTTTGACACAAAAATATAAAAGTTGTTTAAGAAACTGTCATCATTTATTTGTGCGTTTTCCAAGTTTGTTTCAAGGGCGCATTGGCAACTAAAGGAACAGCGCGAAATAAATGATGACAGTTTCTTAAACAACTTTTTTATTTTTGTGACACAAATTATGCAATTTTTCTAGAGTTGGTCTGTTGTTTTTATTGCAGTCCGCGTTGGTTTGATTGTTTTTGGTCTATTTGTTTTTGTGTTAGATTGCAATTCATCGGTATCATTTTGTCTCAAGCGGACTGTAGACCATGACAAGGACAACTAGGGGTTAATGAATGGGTAGGTGGGCCTTGGGAGGCTAAGCAGACCAGAAGATTTATCCATGTCTTAGAAGCAGGCTGGAGGCACGATTCCTTAAGAGAATCAATGGTTATACAGTTACTGGCTGGCAGAGCAGGAACACCCTCATACAGTGTAAGATTTGGTTATCAAGTATGCTTTAAGAGAGATTGCTAAACGAAAAGGTTAATTCTGAACAATATGTTGCTCTTCTGTATCCTACAAGACTAGACATCGCCCGGCTAGACTGAGTAATGAGATTCATCTATGTCATGGGAGAATATTGTGTAAGATTTGAGACAGAGTAATATAATATCCCACCAGATATAGAGCTGGGATATTTGGGTATGTCCTCTCAGTGATTTAAGGAGTTTTCCAATGGACAATATTTGGGGCTGTGATGTACAGGCCACGTAGCCAGAAATAATAAGAAAAACTCATCCGGAACATGGATGGACTCTCAGTGGGCAATTGGAACTACAGGCTAAAAATAGTCTTATATTTTCTCTTGAACTTTTGACACAGATACGTTTTCTCAATAGCATATCGAGATTGTGATTTATTTTGCCCACATATTGGATAATTGTGGCACACTTGTGCAGGAACTTTGAGAACATATCAAGATTGTCATATTTTTTCGCAGAAACATAAAGAGATTGTATTACATGAGATTCTCTGTGTGTGAGTGTGAGAGTGAGTGAGTGAGTGAGAGAGAGAAAGAGAGAGAGAGAGAGAGAGAGAGAGAGAGACAGAGAGAGAGAGAGAGAGAGAGAGAGAGAGAGAGAGAGAGAGAGAGAGAGAGAGAGAGAGAGAGAGAGAGAGGGAGGGAGGGAGGGAGGGAGATTTTAGCAGGATTTTAGATTTATTGATTTCTTGAGAGACAGATGTTAATAAGTGTGCATCAGAATTTCTTTCCAGAACCAATGGTCCAGCTAATACATGTATGTATGTCGTTCTGACTTGAATATAGCCTATTTATTTCATACAATATAAGCTTTCCTTGTTTTACTGTGTGTTTATTCAAAACAAAATAAAATCTACATAATGTACTTAACACAGACACCCTACATCAGTTGACTGGGCACTGTATAATGGGATTGTATTTTCTACAGAAATAACATTGAAAAACAATAAAATAATCAAAATATGCTTCTGGGCATTCAAGCGGCACTGAACAGACTAGAAATGTATCTAATTGCTCATAAGCATAACCATGAGAGGATATAAAATGTATAGCCTAGATGGGGCACATTATGTATATATACTGAAGGTATAATATAACACATATTGGACAGTCTAAAGAGATTATACTCAGCACCCTAGAGACGGAATATACTCTTTAGCCTATAAACGAGGTGTCATACAAAATGGGCTAGAGAGGGAATATGCATAACCTAGATAGGGAATATACCTTTTAGCCTATACATGAGACTTCATACAAAATGGGCTAGAGAGGGAATACACTGCATAACCTAGATAGGGAATATACCGCCCTATACACGAGAGGTCATACAAAAGAGAGGGAATGGCCTATACATGAGAGGTCATACAAAATGGGCTAGAGAGGGAATATACTGCATAACCTAGATAGGGAATATACCGTTTAGCCTATACACGAGAGGTCATACAAAATGGGCTAGAGAGGGAATATACCGTTTAGCCTATACACGAGGGGTCATACAAAATGGGCTAGAGTGGGAATACACTGCATAACCTAGATAGGGAATATACCTTTTAGCCTATACACGAGAGTTCATACAAAATGGGCTAGACAGAGAATATACTGCAAAACCTAGAGAGGGAATATAGAAGAACCTATGCAAGGAACATTCTGTGAAGTGTATGGGTTACTGCAAAGGCCTACAGTATGTCAAGTCAACCAGCCTGGCTTCATCCAACCCACAAGAAAGGGTAAACAGCACAACATTCTTCCTATTATAAGATGCAGGTAATATTAGTTTCCTCTGTACGTGGTAGTAGCGAGCCCCACTGGTATTAGTGTGGTAGTCGCATACATGGTGGGCGTGTCGGTGCACGCACGTCAAGGCAGGCACGTGCGCACATGGACACACCACGGCCACTCACTGACTTAGAGCACAGTATCTAAAAATGGTAATCTCACCCTGCTGCATAGGGTAGCCGACCACACCCTGCTGTTGCTGCCCGTTGAACTGCTGTTGTCCCGGCTGCATTGGTACTTGCCCCCACTGCTGTTGCATCTGCATATTGCCACTGAAACGAGAGATAAGGAAGGAGTGAGTGTGAGTGAGTGAGTGAGTGAGTGAATTTAGTTTTACGCCGCACTCAGATATATTCCAGCTGTATGGAGGCAGACTGTAAATAAAAGTGTCTGGGCCAGACAATCCAGTGATCAACAGCATGAGTATCGATCCAAACAAATGGGATATGATGTGTCAACCAAGTCGGAGAGCCTGACCACTCTGATCTTGTTAGTCGCCTCTTACGACAAGCATGGGTTGCTGAATATCTATTGAGTGAGATAGTGAGTGAGTGAGTGAGAGAGGTTTTGTTTGTATACCTGTTGCTTAACACCACACTCAGCAATATTCCAGCAAAATTCCAGCAATAATCCAGCAATATTCCAGCGGTTTGACATCATGAGCATCAACTGGGATACAATGATATGCATCATCCAAGTTAGACTGTCTCACAGTCCCTGAACCACATCATTTTCCCTACTGCCTAGCCTTCTCGGCAATGCTAAAGCCTTAAATGAAGCAAGTCTAGATTTTCTCAGGTTATCTCTCGTCTCCCTGGGGCTCCTTTTCAATTTGGATTTGTTCGTTACTATCAACATTATATACATTCAGAGGCTAAGCATTAGTCTACATCCAAGTCAGCAGGCCCGACTATGCAACCCGTAAGTCTTACAAGCAAGGACTGACGAAGAAAATTCTAACCCATATATTCATGGGTCAGTGAGGAAAAAGTGGAAGTATGGTTTTATGCCACTTGCAGTGATATTCCATCAATATCATGACTTGGGGTACATGAATGGACCAAACTAGAGAGTGAGTGAGTTTAGTTTTACACTGCTTTTAGCAATATTCCGGCAATATCAAAACTGTGAGTGAGGGGCACCAGAAATGGGCTTCACATATTGTACCCATGTGGGGAAACGAACCCTTTCTTCGGCGTGACGAGCGAACGCTTTAACCACTAGGCTACCCCACCGCCCCAAACTCAAAACTAGAGAGGTTGAGGAAGGAGTATTGAGAGACACGAAGCTGAAGACAGCTCTGGCAATATGGTAAGGTTTGATTCAAGCAGTTCAAAATGCACTGGTATATCTGTCAACGCATCACATAATTATGGTTATAATCTGTGAGGTCCAAGTCCAAAAGCATTTCTTTCTGTCTGATAAGCTCAGCCATTCCCATATATTAACATTAAACACTATTAATAATATTCCCTATAGACAAATTCCGGCAAGCCGACTCAAACATTTGGCGCAGGCTGTGTGTATTAACACATCATCATATAACATGTATATGTTACGTTTCAAAATCATTTCATCAGCACTGTCTGGTAGATCGGGATACCATCATGAACCTAACACAGAATGTCTGATGGGTGCAGCTTTCAGTCTTTGTCAGTGCATGTGTCTCATACAAACAGAATCTATGACACTCCAGGGTTTATACAGTTTATGGATACAATGATTGCGATACACAGAATACAAAGATCGTTGTCTCCGGCAAAATCAATGCTGCTATCTATCTCCATTACGCTTACCCTGCAAACTGATAGTTATACTGGGGCCATTGACTCATGCTGGCTGCCTGTATATAGCCTGCCTGGCCCACGCTCTGATAGGCGCTGTTGCCGGGGTAGTTGTAGTAGCCCATGTTGAAGTACTGACCGTACGTGTTGGGCGATGTTGCCTGGTAAGGCTGTTGTTGTTGCTGCTGCTGTAAAATATAAAAATATCTCTGTATTTGTAAATTAATACATGACAAGTTAATGCAAAAAGAGTGGCTTTGAGTGAGTGAGTGAGTGAGTGAGTGAGTGAGTGAGTGAGTGAGTGAGTGAGTGAGTGAGTGATTATGGTTGGGGACATTGAGTATCGCTGTGTTCAAATTTAAAGTCACTTCGGCAGTATTTCTGCCATATTACGATGAGGGTGTTGTATCAAATCACAATATCCACCTCCGAATATGAAACTGACTTGACAGCCGAATGACCACAAGATGTAATTTTTTGAGTAAAATTGATATTTTATACTTATCCTGACTCATGCTCTTTTTGCTTGTCTCCTTCCTCTTGCGAACATAGTGGAACACTTGTATCTCCCTAATTGAAGTTCCCTTCAATGTAAAATCACTAATTAGTACACCACGAGTTACCTCCCTTCCACAAGCTCGGGAACGAGGGCGCCACCTCTACCCATGTGCCTCACTCTCTCCTCATATACTGAGCCCAACATTTGAATTTACAGGGAAATCCAAAGTGTTATTTGGGGAGGATGGGAGGGTTGACCTCATGAGTCAGGATAAGTATAAAATATCAATTTTACTCAAAAATTACATATTTTTCCTTATCCTGACTCATGCTCTTTTGCTTGTAGAATCCAACAGAGCCGGAGGTGGGAATATATAATACTTTGGATTTTAATAATTAGTGATTTGAATCAGTGAGGATTGTAATAACCCTATGGGAACTTCATAAAGGCATTGAACTGATGAATTCCTGCTGCCAGCTTATCAGCTGCCATATAGAGGTTATTACAATGTACTTATTATGATAAGTATATATAATATTAATACAATGCTTAAGACTAATAGACTTAAGCTTGTTAATATGCTAGTATAAACTCCTTAGAGTTTGTTAGCTAAAATACTTTAAGATATAAACATAGTACTCAAGCTTAAAATATGATTAATTTTAAGCTAATTATATAATAACAAACCCTCTTTAGGGTTTGTTAGTTAAAATATTTATAATGATATAGACAGTGCTGAGCTTAAGATATGAATAAGCTTAGCTATATATATAACAGCAAACTTTTGTAGAGTTTGTTAGCTAATACATTTTTACAATATGAGTATAGTATTGTGCTTAAGATATAATTATCTTAAGCTACATATATAATAGCCAAACTTAGTAGAGTTTGTTAGCTAATATATTTTTACAATATGAGTATAATACTGTGCTTAAGATATAATTAACTTAAGCTACATATATAATAGCCAAACTTAGTATAGTTTGTTAGCTAATATATTTTTACAATATGAGTATAGTACTGTGCTTAAGATATAATTAACTTAAGCTACATATATAATAGCCAAACTTAGTAGAGTTTGTTAGCTAATATATTTTTACAATATGAGTATAGTACTGTGCTTAAGATATAATTAACTTAAGCTACATATATAATAGCCAAACTTAGTAAAGTTTGTTAGCTAATATATTTTTACAATATGAGTATAGTACTGTGCTTAAGATATAATTAACTTAAGCTACATATACAATAGCCAAAACTCTGTAGAGCTTATTAGCTAATAGATTTATAATGTAACCATAGTACTAAGCTTAAGATATGATTAGACTTAAGCTAAATGTATATAGCAAAAACTCCTTAGAGTTTATTAACTAATATACTTTTATGTTATAAACATAGTACTGAGCTTAAGATATGATTAAACTTAAGCTATATATATATAATAGTAAAACTCCGTGAGAGTTTGATAGCTAATACATTTTATTATGTTGATTTAGACCTAGTATTGAGCTTAAGATATGAAGTAAACCTTGCTAAATATATAATAGCAAAAACCTTTTAGAGTTTTAATAGCTAATATACTTATATGGTATCAACATAGTATTGAGCTTAAGATATGAAGAAACCTTAAGCTACATATGTATAGCAAAACTCCGTAGAGTTTGTTAGCTAATACATGATATAATGTAACCATAAAGCTTAAAAATATGATGAAAACTTAAGCCCAATATATAATAGCAAAAACTCTTTTAGAGTTTTGATAGCTAATATACCTATATGATATAAACATAGTACTGCGCTTAAGATATGAATAAGCTTAAGTTACATATATAATAGCAAAAAACTCCATAGAGTTTGTTAGCTAATACATGTTATAATGTAACCATATTGCTTAAGATATGATGAAACTTAAGCCAAATAGCAAAAGCTCTTTAGAATTTGTTAGCTAATATAGTTATATGATATAAACATAGTACTGAGCTTAAGATATGAATGAGCTTAAGCTACCTATATAATAGCAAAACTCCGTAGAGTTTGTTAGCTAATGTATTTTTACAATATGAGTATAGTACTATGCTTAAAATATACTTGACTTAAGCTACGTATATAATAGCCAAAAAAAACTCTGTAGAGTTTGTTAGCTAATGCATTTATCATGTAACCACTGTGATGATAAAAAACGAGCTTAAGCAAATTATATATAGCATGAAGCTATTTAGTACTGTTATAAGATAAGTAAAAATCTGTAAGATTGACTTATCTTCTCCGAGGAACTGTCAACTGTTGTGCAAGGACCATGGGATCAAATTGGTGGATACCTGAGATGTCCTCGGTGGTGATATCTCTCAGATAATGGTTGGCAACCACCATATCGGATCTACAGTAATAAACCCTCCATTATTTCAAATAACATTTGTGTAGATGAAATTGTAGAAGTTAGCTTCTAATATCAAGAGTATTAAAGCTCATGGAGGGTCGGATTAGGTCCATCTGTCTTGTATGCACGTTAGTATGACAGTTCTGATCCAAACGGAGATATAGTAATGCGAGACTACACTCTGCGAAGTTGATGATAGAGGAAAAAAATCTGTTGTATTTTTTCTTCCTGTTTGGTTTGGTGGAGATAAATTTACAGTGCTCTTGCTGGCCAGCTTTGATAGCATCATCGTATCATGGAGTCCAAGTATGTCATCCAGGCATGTTCATAAACCTCACTTGTGAGGTGTTGTAGCACTATATTCATATCCCCAAGTTGGTACCTGCGAAACTTCCGCTTTATTCTCCAAACAGAAACTTAGTAGGTTTTACTAACCATCTAGTTGTGTTAATAGCTTGATGATTAAATTCAGGTGTAGTCTGAAACGCTGTGGATTTCGATCCACTTGTATCACGTCGTTTGAGGTAAATCGCTATGATGTCCTTGACGATCTATGTGCACAACCGGAGTTTGTGTCCTCGATGAACTTTATGTAAAATCGCCTGACTGCTGTGCCCTTTGTCTAAACTTGACAGAGGAGGTCTCTAACCTGAAGAAAGCAGCCTAATCATGAAGGTTCAGGTTAACTGGGCTGTAAGGAGGCTTGCTCGCTCATTGATATAAAGTTGTCACTTGCAACCTATGTCTTGAACTGTGAACTATGCTCTCGACCTCTGTGTATGCTTGTTCATCGGGTCCAATCAGAATAAGGCATTTTGATTCTGTAGAGTACCAGCTGTGTGATGTCACCGTGTAGCAGGAAAAGGAACCTTGTATAATATAGTGCCGTCGCTGATATTAGAACAATCGCCGGTCTTCATCGTAACTTCCCCGGTTACCCGAAAGTGACCACGTGTTTCGAGGATTAATGGTAAACGCTACAAGCTTCTCGCTAGAAAATACCCTCGCTCTGTAATATTAATGCTGGGTAGGTTATTTTCCTGGCTGTCGTGGAAAGTGCTTCAGTTTTGAATATAATTCCGACTTCTTTATATATAAAGGTACAATAACTTGTAAGTTGTCAGCTTGTAGACTGTATACATGAATGTATCGGCCATAATTGTAGAATTAAAGCTGAATTTGTTGTACATATTTCTTCTCAGAAATGTTGGACGATTATGAGTTATACCGCTGTAACAAGGCTGCTGTTCAATTTCGATATTGAATTGTTCTGCAGATATGCGTAATGGTCACGCATGTAGATAATCGTATCGTCGTCCGGGATTGCATATACTAGCAATTTATAATGAATAGTTGATTTCTGTGAAGATCTATGAAACGCCGTTGACAAATTAATACAGCCGACGTTCTGTGTTGTAAATAGCCTGTGCAATTGTCTTCGCGTAGGGCTTATAGATCGCATCTGGCATACAGTTGATAGACAACTTATGCGCGATGCGTCTTGAACGGACTGAGGAGTAGCTATATATGACGAAAGTGGCTAGTATATGGAGACCTTTGGAGGAGACTTCCTCGGTGAACGCCGGAGACTTCACGCTTCCTCGAAGTATCCCTTCTAGATCTACTGGTGAAGTAGACTTGAGCCACTTTAGCCTTCGCGACCTTCGCTGGTATCGAAGTCAAAGTCCGATTAGAATATATATATATATATATATAAGAGCTTTGCTTCGCGAATGGCCTCTGTGTTTAACAGGATGTGGGGTCGAAGCGCATACTCCTCCGCTGACGTCCCTTGTAGCTGGTGAGGCTCTAGCTTTCGCCGAGGCTGCCTGGGACTTGCTGGTTCTGCATAAGTAGGGCCGAGTGGATCATCTTATCATTTTCAGAAGTCGTGGTTACCCGAAATCTGGCGATAAGTGTCTCAATGATCGCTCTAGATCTATTTAGGCCAACTTAACATACGCCTCGTCCATGGATTCAACTGAACCAATTTACGATTGTAGTTCTTATTGTTGATATCGATGATCAACTTGTAGTTTTCATCGATGTCTTAAGCCTTGAAGAAGGGGTCCATGTTGTGCGTGGAAAACTTCTAGGCGTGAAAGTTCGGCAATTATGGTGTCTGAACTTTTGTGGCTTTATGGGATGCTATGTCTAGATTCTGTGCTACCGCAGCAATCGGGTCGATCGGAGGTAGGGTGATAGCATCTGCGTCGTCTTCCTTCATCAGGTATGTCTGCGTCGTACTGCCACTCTAGGAAGGTGATGTAGACTTGTGTGGTAACCTGTGAGGCGATCGATGTGGTGATGTACGAGGAGATCGGAGACTATTGACAGCTTCGCGAAGCTCTTGAGTAGTCCCTTGACTCTGTTAAATGACGATCTATATTCGGGTGTCCTTCCCGAAAGTGCCTTCGCTAACGCCATGGGACGCTTCGGGCGAAGCTTCCTCTGCGCTCGGGTGCTGGGGAACGGCGATTTGAGCTTCAAGGGCTTCCGTGGAGGTCTGGTGGCTGAGTCTGCATCTAAGGATGAAGCCGAGGAATGTGATGATCTATCCCTTCGCCTTGGCTGGCCTTCGCGAAGGCTGTACATCTGGGTCCTTCGTCAAGGTGGTCTGCGACTTCCTTCGCGAAGGCTGCATCGCCTTTGGCTGCTACGCTGACTGGAGGTGCCTCTAGAGTGTTGTTAAGTTGGAGCCTTCGCCGAAGGCTCGTGACTCTGGGCTGGCTGCTTCTCCAGTCTGTAGTGACCTCCATCACGCACGACCATGATTTGCAGTAGTAGCTCGTCTGGGATGGTCTGCACGGCGTAGTCGGTGCCATCTCTGCGCTGTTAGTGGTAGGGCCCTCAGGTAAGTCGCCTCTGACATCAGTGTAGAGACATCAGGCTGCATGACGATCTCTGCTGATGTCATTGTAGCTGTCACCGGTCGCTACTTGTCTCATATCGCCGGGGATGATGATCGGCTGATCATCGTGAGAGGCCAAGTTCAGCGGCTGGAACAATCTCGGTTGAGAAAGTCCTAGTAGACTTCGTTGAATTCCCTCAGAGGTCGACGCGCTGCCCTGGGGGTGCTAAGTCTGGCGTTGAGTGTTGGTAGCACCGGGACCCTCAGGAAGATCATCGAATGTTGATCTGCGCTGACATCACTGTTGCCGACATCAGTCATTCTTTGATGTACATCAGGAATGATGATCGGCTGATCATCATACAGGCCCAAATCTGCGATGAGAACAATCTCGGCTGAGAAAGTTCTAGTAGACTTCGCTGAATACCCTCAGTGCGACGAAAGGGATGTCTGGGGAAGCAGGACGCTTCTTGAGGCGGGCGGACTACGCCCCACGCCTCCACCATTCTAGCGGAAAACCAGACGGGAGGGGGTCGACCAACAGCAGTAGACTGGCTGAGGGTTCAGGTGTATCAGTCATGCTAGACTCTGCATAACCTATCTCCTATCTGCTGCGCTGCCTCAAACGCAAAAGTAATTATTTATTAAAGGTAGAATTGGATAAATTAGTATCGCAACTGCAACGCGAATCACATGAAACATGGCGCAGTACAGCTAGGGCATATTAAATGCGATCAGCAGCAGAATAAAAACGTAATGTGCAACAGTACAGAATTTTTATCAACGTAATCCACTGCAACAGCAGCACGGCGTCCCGCATAAACAGTAGAAACACGACTAAATATCAATATATAATTGTTGAAAGATACTAGCTAAACCTCTATAGATCTCTATAATGAGGTAACTAACTAAATATAATCAAAGGATATAGTGTGTCGGGAGACACAGGCGCTCTCACGTCCAGCTCACTGGGCGAAGAAGGAGAGAGTGAGGCACATGGGTAGAGGTGGCGCCCTCGTTCCCGCGCTTGTGGAAGGGAGGTAACTCGTGGTGTACTAATTAGTGATTTTACATTGAAGGGAACTTCAATTAGGGAGATACAAGTGTTCCACTATGTTCGCAAGAGGAAGGAGACAAGCAAAAAGAGCATGAGTCAGGATAAGGAAAAATAAGTAATATTAAATATATCAGTATGTCAGTCATAGTGGGGCTTGAATATACATCTAAATAGTCAGATTTCTAGAAACTTGAAAGTAACCCAAAACAAACAACATGAAGCTTCATGAAAGACAATACACAGGGTTGTACCTTTACCAACCAAATAAAGGGTTCGCAGGGGCCCAACTTACTAATTTCTACGTCGCGTAAAACCCTGCTACTCTTTTCATGATACCAAACAAGCTTCAAATAAATGTAAGACAATAATCTTTCCATCATACCAAACTTCAAATACATTACAATGGAAAATTGCCATGTCAGAACAATACTACAGAATTTATACAAGCATGTAAAAGAACCATTAACCAAAGTCTCAACAGAATCTCGTGCTATCAACTTGCAAAGTCCTTGACATTTCTTCACCGTACAGCCATATTTCTTATTTAAAGCTTCTAATGCAGACATTTTGAACATGCTCTATCACATACACTGGAGCATTGTTTTACCATATGAATCAAATACACCATACCTGTATTCAAAAGAATTTGACTTTTATAAATAATGTTTTCACTTAAAAAATCCCTGTATTCATATCTTCAGCACAAACTGTACGGAATGACATTAGAGTTTTATACCTCAATTACGTACATATGTCAGTTATATTCAAACATTCAACAGACCGAAATGTCAAGAGTATTTCATTACGTCAATTTTTCCACACACACTTCTATACATAAGCTCTTGTCAACATTCCTGGCGATCAATTTTTTTCATAAAACACTCAATCTTTCAGGAAATCCCATTCCATTCTTCCGATATACATTTGGACACATTACAAGACCGTGAAGAAAGACGGCATGGATCTTGTAGTGACTTTCAGGCTACATACTCACCTCAAACATAGACAGTGAGTCAATAACTGGTGTTAACATTTGGACGTTTGAAGATAACGCAATGTTATAACACCAGAAATAGACAGTCTCTGCAGAATGTTTACCTCTCTGGCCATGTGATAGGAACAGATATACTCTGGTAATAATAGGGTGAGAATATCGGGGTTCGTAAATATCATAAAAATGCTCATATATTCCTCACAATTCTTTCATAATACTGTAGTTCATCTGTTATGACATAAAAGATTAACTATAATGACATGAAAGAATCGTTCCTTAACTTCTTTTGAGTAGCATAAATGTGGAATAATGCACCAAACACATGGGAGTGTTCATTTCCTAGTTTTGAGAGACTGCAAAACACTTTTCCACTAATACACATGGGAGTGTTCATTTCCCAAAAACAGATTTGGTAACAACAGTTAGTACCAATTGATACCTTTTCAATTGATACACTTTAATCAATTGATACACCTTGTCAATTGATACATCTTGTCAATTGCCAGAATGTGGATGGATGGGTTTGGGGATAGATAGTTGGATGGATGGATGGATGGAATGTATGTGTGTATGTATGTATGTATGTGTATGTGTGTGTGTGTGTGTGTATGTATGTATGTGTATGTATGTGTGTATGTATGTATGCATGTATGTATGCGTGGATGGATGGATGGAAGGATGAGGGGGATAGATGGATAAAATAGACAGTTGATGGATTGGATTAGTTTGAGAATAGTTTGATGTGAAGGTGGATAGGTTTATGGATGGATAGTTAAGGGTGTGAAGGTGGGTGAATAGTGTGAAGGTGTCGATAGTTTGTGCATGGATGGGGGTTGGAGGTTTGGGGATGGGTTGGAGGTTTGGGTGGATTGGTTGGTGCATGGAAGGGTGGGGCTTCAAGGAAGGATTAGTGGGTGGGTGAGGTTTGTGGATGTGTGGATGGGAGAGTTGGTGAATATGTGGATAAGTGGATGGGTCATAGTGGTTGAGTGGGCGAGCCAAGGATGGGTCAGTAGAGAGATTGGCCAATTGGATTGAAGAGTGGGTTGAGGAGCGTGAAGTTTGTACGTACATTTACCAATTGCTGTGTTGTCTGACTGGGGTCGTTCGACTCTTTCCCCCAGGAGCACTTCACCTGTTGGTCGTTCACTGTTGTGCCATGTACAGATACAATTGCAGTTGTTGCATTTTCTTTAGAAGCAAATCTGAAAGATAAGACAGACTTTGATGAGGATGTTGAAACAAAACCAGCACCATCCAAAATATAACATTCATTAAATGGGGTTTAATGAAGAAACTCTGGCAACTACAAGACGTTTTTAGCTGTATGTGTTTTGTCTGAAAGTATGTAATCTATTCATTATCAAACTAAAATTTAAAAGGTTCGCACAAATTAAATCTTTGCTCAAATGCATATCTGCCACAATATACTTCAAAAAAACATGTTACTCCTCCTCATAGACACAAAATACATTAGTTTTCTTTGTCGTTATATACATTGTTACAATTTAGTGTATATATTGCTCCAATTATGTGGGGCTTCGCACATGTCGCAAAACACTTCTACCCCTGTAGTACCCTATCTGCGGTACCCACTTGACTAACTGCATGTATATAAAGTCTTTATTGTGCTGCACACAGCATTGAGTGAGTGAGTTTAGTTTTACGCCACTTTTAGCAATATTCCAGCAATATCATGGCAGGGGACACCAGAAATGGGCTTCACACATTGTACCCATGTGGGGAATCGAACCTGGATCGTTGGTGTGACGAGTGAACGCCTTAACCATTAAGCTACTAAGCTACCCCATCAGCAGTTTCAGTAGTATGAGAAACCTGTCTTTAATCAAGTCCGGACCAAACAATCCAGTGATTGCTATTATGTGAATTGATAACTTCATGCACTATTACAAGCAATCAAACAAGTTTAAAACGCAGAAACAAAATCTTAAAAAATCTAAAAATATATATCTAAGTACAACTTAAGTCATATTTCTTCATCTAAAAGCTTTTACATCATAATTCATTTATTTTTAGATCTTGCATCTCTTGGGGACGTAATGACACTGGAATTTCTGCTTGTGATATATCTCTATTGAGTTAGATTTACAGCTGCCATAAGGACGCCTGATGGTCTTGTGTTTCAATGCCCAAGTGTTCTGTATTGTGAGTCTTTTGAATGACATATCTTATGTCATCAGCTACATTAAGCAATGAAAACAACAAACTAACCATAAATATATGGCTGAATACATTGAAAAATGTGAAATGGAATTTCTGCTTAGAATGCAATATTAAGAAACAGTCTAATACTTTGTTTTTAGTTGCTAATTAAAGATTTAATCAGCAGATGATATATTTATTGAGATCATAATACATTTGAAATAATCCAAAGCATTTATGAGGTTGTTTAGATATATTACCCAAGCAATAATATAGCGTTTATATCAGATGGATTATTTGATATTAAGACCTGGTTATATTTTGCCTTCACTGACTGGGTTTGCATTTCTTTTAAGATGAACACCTGAGAATAACTGTTCTCATAACGATGCCCATACGTCAAACCGTCATTCTAAGTAGAATTTACAATTTTGTTGAGAATATGTTTCCTGTAAGTAGATTGATCCTATTTCAAATATAGGTCTTATTCTTCATCGCGGGTAAATTTTGAGAAGATTGTTTACATGACTTTGGTTTGCTTATTCATCTCGGAATATTCACAACAAGATTAGAGTGTGAACTAAAATCTATATTCACAGATAAGATACTCATACTGACTGACTGAGTGAGTTTGGTTTTACGCCGCTTTTAGCAATATTCCAGCAACATCACGGCGGGGGACACCAGAAATGGGCTTCACACATTGTGCCCATGTGGGGATTCGAACCCGGGTCTTCGGCGTGACAAGCCAACGCTTTAACCATTAGGCTACCCCACCGCCCCAATATAAGATACTCATAAAAATGGCAGATTTCTTAAAAGGTCTGTGCTTGAGTTGAGAGTGTTAATTTCTTTAACATCAAGTCATAACACCAGTTGAAGCTCACCTTACAAAAGCATAACCTTTATCTTTAAACACCCTGATCTCTTGTATAGCCCCATACGGACTGAATGTCTTCTTCATCAATTCCTCTGGAAAATAAGAAGAGATAAATAAATTCACAGTTCCCATGGGAACTAAAATGAATGAGACCCACAACAAAATAACTAACAAATCTCACACTTGAAATCTGCCCCGTCCACTTTCTCTAACACATTTCAGATAATGGAGTCCAGCCAACATTAACACACTCTGACAGAGAAACAATACTTGATAAATCATGAATCTGGTTCACTTATAAAGCTAAGAGCTGTTTCATAAATAATTTGTTCTGCCATACTTATCAAAGACACCTTATCTGCAACTGGACTCAATCTTTGTGGAAGAATGATTTATTGCAGAGTTTGAAAGGAAGGCTCCGTGAAAAAGGATTACAAATATCTGACACATTTGTTTCTGCATGAAGGATGATGTGTTAGAGTAATGCCAATTCCAATTTCTCATCTGACTCTGCTTCATATATCTTGATATTCCCAGGGTGGTTCAATCTGCATCTAGTACTGATGGCTACCCAGAATGACCTGGACATGACAGTATGGACTTACAAGCAACCTCCTCATCACAGCCTTCATCAATCAATAGCTGGGATACTGTGACTGTTTGTACCCAATGTAGGTTCACGCTGTGTGATGTGAATTTGGTATTTGCCAACTAAACACACAGTGATTTGTGGAATGGCTCTTCCAACAGTCTTGCTGATGAACTTTCAATACCTGTGGCTCATTACAAGTATAGTGAGTGAGTTTGGTTTTACGCCGCTTTTAGCAATATTCCAGCAATATCAAGGCGGGGGACACCAGAAATGGGCTTAACACGGGGAATCGAACCCGGGTCTTCGGCGTGACGAGCGAACGCCTTAACCACAAGCCTACCCCACCGCCCTTACAAGTATAGTCTAAAACTGTTGTTTCAAAGTGAGTGAGTGTGGTTTTACTCCGCTTTTGGCAATATTCCAGCAATGTCAAGTCAGACAAGCGAAAGCTTTAACTATTAGGCTACCCCACTGTTGTTTCAAAGCTTGAGTTATCCTTGAGACAACTAAGTTCGGAACATCAAGATTCGAAACAACTAAATAAGGAATCTGCCGAGACCACTGTAACTACTTTTGTAGGTACCTTAAACACATGAGTTCAGTGTTGCAAGAGTCAGGTAAAATAGTAGATATGTGTGTCAATATCGATCAATGCCTCCATGATGAACGACTAAACTAGACAGGTCACAGGTGACAGTTGGTCCCCAGATCCTGTAATAGCCGCAAAGGCAGTCAGGTCATAGGTCACAGCTGGTCTCCAGATCCATTATAACCATTAAGTCCGGTCACTCCTGGACTCCAGCTCCCATCGTAGGCATTAAATCAGTCAGGTCACCAAAGTCCCATTTCAGTCTCCTCTTTCAACAAGCATTGCTTACAAGGGACCTATTCTGCCCCGGAATCCCCATATGCAGAATTAAACCTTAGCCTCATGCGTTAAAAGCTAACACATTACCCACAAGGCTACTTGATTGTTCCCTAAGGATCTGCACTGCTCTGATAAATCTAGGATTTGAAAGAATGCTACAATCCTTAAAAGGTTTTAGCCAAAGAAGCTATTCAGGATAATTGCTCGTTAAACTTTTCAACAAATGTCCACTGACATGAAAGTAAGAAAGGAGTCCACATCAGCTGTACATCGCTCTAACGTTCCAGTTTTCATTCAACGAGTCAAATTCTCATATCAAAGTCTGATTCTGCATTCACTACGACCTTCCCAGACTCCATTTAAACTTTAATGTTATTCAAGGCTATCCATGAAATCGTCAAGTTGACTTCAGACAAGAGTCAAGAACATCCCTGACCTCCTCGTCTACTAGACCAAACCTGGAATTGGAGTTAGCATGGAGTCACCAATCAGAGCCAATTTGAGCAATGTTAAATGTACCTGAAGAGCCGGTAGTGATAAGTCCAATTTTAGTGGTTTCTTATAGATTACCATTACTAGGGTTAGTACACTTTGTGGTCCTGTCCCTGTTCAGAGTCTTCTAGGCCTACATCAGGCTGTTGGAAATTGCTCAATATCTCCACTGAGATATAAATCACGACTTGTGTTTTTTTTTAGCACGTCTGCCTGGAATTTGACTTTGGACATTTTTTTCGTGACTGGTTGTAATGTCTGTGAAACAGGAGAGCTTGAAAGAACTTATCAGTCTGCTGTTGATTAAGTGCAGTTTGAAAGAATGAAGACTCTGTGTTTGGAAAAGATGAGACTGATATTGTTTTTCCAAGACTCATGATCAGTGACAGATCTGTTTCTCAAAGCGATCACAGTGCCGAGACTAGTAATTTTAAAGTCGCGTAGTTTAACACACACATTCCTAGTCATACCACTAACCCTATTAATAGCATTTCTGCAGCAGATAATGAAACACACAGAATTGATCTCCATGAGTGTGTGAGTGAGTTTAGTTTTACGCTGCTATCAGCAATATTCCAGGCATATGGCATCAGTCTGTAAATAATCGAGTCCAGACCAGACAATCCAGGGATCAACAGCGTGAGCATCAATCTACGCAAATGGGATATGATGACATGTGTCAAGCAAGTCAGCGAGCCTGACCACCCGATCCCGTTAGTCACCTCTTACGACAACCAAGGGTTACTGAAGACCAGTTCTAACCCGGATCTTCACAGGTGGGTGGGTAAGTGAGTGAGTGAGTTGGGTTTAGCACTGCTTTGAAAGGTGTTCCAGCTTTATCATGGTGTGTCAGCTAAATGTGGGGGAAACGATGCAGGTCAGAGACATCTACCACTGCTGAAGCTAATGGGCAGGGGTATTGAGCTGACAAACCGAGACACATAATGGGGGCAAACTGGGATTCGAACCCACAATGACAGGTTTGTGCCATGCCCAAGGGATGCAACTCTGCACAGAAAATAACCACCCCCTCCAAGAATGCGACCCAGGAGGAAGCTAAACACTGATTTTACTCCACACATTAGCAAAAACACAAACAGAGCTCATCAAGACCTCAATCACTCTCATCCCCACAAAACCCAATGGAGGAAATCTCATTAATCGATCCGGTTTCTATATCTGCTTGTCTCTTTCAGATAACTCGGAAGTCAAAGTACAGCTGAAAAAATACAATACTATCAAATTACAGATAGTCATCAACGTCAGTAAAGATACCATAGACTTTGTATTTCCCTTTCCTCTTTGCTGGAAACTGGCAAGCTGCAAATCAGACTCGTAGAAAATAATAGACCATTACTCATTGGTGTGACAAGCATCCACCTCAACCACAGGGCCAACCAACACACTCATTATGCAATGCCAGCCAGCCCCTGTAACCCACATATCCAGAACATACATCCGCAAACTTAGTGACACTACAAACAGGTGTGACTAGCATCCACCTGAACCACAGGGCCACCCAACTGTTGTAATTGTTTATATAGATTGACAGGTCTATGTGAAAGTCATGCTACTGTTCCAGTACCTGTGAGTCCATTTGAAATTCCTCCACAATACACTGTACAGTTTGTGGCACTGGATTGGCTGAACACTTCATCATAGGAGAGAGGTTTTACATCTGGAAACAAAAAAAACAGAACGTTAGTGTTATTGCATCAAGATTTATCCAGGTACTCTCAGTACTCAGGCATCAATCTATACAACTGCGATACATGGGCATCATCACCAAAAGTCTGCGAATCTGACCATCCAATCCAGTCAGTTGCCTCGTAGGACTGACTGACTGACTGACTGACTGAGTTTAGTTTTACGCCGCTTTTAGCAATATTCCAGCAATATCACGGCGGGGGACACCACAAATGGGCTTAACACATTGTGCCCATGTGGGGAATCGAACCCCGGGTCTTCGGCGTGACGAGCCAACGCTTTAACCACTAGGCTACCCCACTGCCCCATGCCTCGTAGGATTTATTGTTAATTTTTTATTGCTGTAACATTTAAATTAGTTTCAAAACTGAAATTCAAGCAGTGAATTCAGGTTGGAACAATTATATTAGTCTTCTAATAATGTTACACTTCTGTAAAGGTGTCTTATATTTTGCTCATAATTGAGCCAATAGAGAAGGCAAAATACTTCTGAAAGGAAGGCGATTTTTTTTTTTAACCTGTCCAATAAAAAATATCCCAATTTGCCTGCCAGGGACCTTTAAAGAAACACTTCACGTCTCTCTTGTGCTGTCATTATAGTTTCAGAATCTGATATTGGATTTCAAAATCAAGTAAAACTCAAGTTAATGTTTTTCTTCACATCTTTACAAAGATTCCATGGTATTATCAAACAACAATACTATCTTGAGAAAAAACCCAAAACAAAACATTTCAAGGAAGCAAACATCAGAAGACACAAAGAAATCCAGACCCGTGAAAAAGAAATCTTCAATGAAAACAGAAAAATTCCGAAAAAGAAATCTTCAATGAAAACAGAATTTTTCCGAAATAAAACTGAAACTGTCTGCTCAAACAAATATTTGATGAAGTAATGGAAACAGCTCACATCAGAGCAACACACCCTTAACATTTGCTCAGATCCATTACAGTCTCAAAGCTAGCGTCTTACAATTCAGCAAGATGTGGTCAAATGTGGCCACCTTTCCTCCTCCCTTGACCTCTGACATTTTCCCCATATCCCCAGAACCAGCAAAGCCAGAAGATGGCCGCCCCATGTCGAGCCATTAACCCTTCCTTCCTGTCATCTTTCCGATGCCATACTCGCGATGGCATCTGATCACCTTGGTGGAGAATAATCCATTGCCGATGAGGCATAAACGTGCATCATTAATCCCCATAAAAATGTGATTATGATAAACACATGTAAATGATCATGCTAATAGTAGACTATCGAACGGTACGGGTGAACATCGGTCGACCCGGGAATGGATTACAGTGAAAAAGTGGAAATCTGTTTTGTGTTAAAAGTGACGAGATCAGTCTCGCAAGTTTCACTCTCTCACCTTGGTGCAGAGTCTGAGAAATGTGATTTGACACGTGACAACTTCATAAGATGAGGAACTCTCGAAAGGATTCACACTCGTATAATTGTTACAGAGTGGCTATATCACCGTTTATTTTTTTCATCTTTAATTTAGCGAATCTGGGTGAGAAAATGTATCCCAAGGTAGTATAAAATTATTGTTATCTTTGTGCATTTTTCCAACACTTTTACTGTGAAACATCCTAGTTTTGACAAACAGTTCTGAAATAAGACACCACAAGTACTTGACAGATGTATTGTATGTTTCTTCAGAATCATTCTACGAGAATACCCACTATGGAAGAGTTAAAAAATAACTAAATATCTAACCAAATTGTCTCTGAACCGTTTTTTTTAATCATTTATCCTGCATTGCTAGTCAGTTGGAACCCACAAACCCAGAACTTAGATCCACAAACTTGGAGACACTACAAACAAGTCTCCAACCATGGCCAATGTCCGTTTTGACCTGCTAATGTTTCAGTAACTGCAAATATATTTGTCCCGTGTTTTGTGATTGCATGTTGTGGTTGCAGACTTCCTGTTTCCTCCTACTTTTAAGTGTCACACCATCATGTTTTGTTTACTTTACAGCCACTTGCTACAGAGGACACCTTCTTACACCTTTCATAGAAATATTCCATCATTACCAAATTTGAAACAATCTTCTGGGATATGTTGAACACTAATCCATCAATCGCCTGATGAACGAACGATCTGTCTCTAATTATGACTTGACTAATCATGCACTCTTTTCCAAAAATCCAAGAAATGATTTTTGATCATTACAGAAACACCCACTCTATCCTCAAAATTCTCCTATCCCTCGAGGTATCATTAACATTAGGTAACTGCACAATGTAGAACTACCACGAATCCGAGTTCCCCTCCCTCCCCTGAAGACATTCTGACCTTGATTCTCCTTTTCAAGCCCTTAATGAGTGATTAAATTAAAGTCTACGTGGAACTTCCATCATCTCTAATGGAATACAGGGCACATTTTGGAGATCTATTCCCATGTCTTTCTCGCATACACTCAGTCCTTCCACAAGAGTGCCTGATTAACTGGATGACACTCCCATCAGGAGTCTCATCAAGTACATATTTGAACAATATTTTCCAACTGTGCTCTTCATTAGCATAATAAGTTATTAATTCTCGCGGTAATTAAATGGCGTCTGACTGGCTCTTCAATGTCTCCTGGTGCAGACGGACAACAGAGGTATGACATGTTCATATTTACCTACCTCTTCAAACTCCAATTCCTGACAATGTCTCATTACAAACATGGTCACTCCAGTTTGCATCAATACCCTTTGTTGCCGAATTTCCTACACTTGTGAGTATCAGGATATTGACTCTGCTGTCAAATTCTAAGAATTTTGTGTGTGAAGTTATAAATTTAAAATGCAATCAATACAGCTGATCTTTACTAATTTATTATGTAATAAACGTGTCGGTTAAATCAGACTGTCTGCCCTCGTCTCAGGGTGCTGAATAGGGTCTAAGAGTTACGAGATTCAATAATTGATGTCTACCAGACAAAACAGTGACAAAGAGTTTGGACCACACTAGCAAAGTACATACGACACTTTATGAGCCAGATCACATGAATGTAAGCGAGTATGTATACCTGCCTGTGGACTAATACTGATTTTATAATGCTAGCCCACCAAGATACCATGCTAATGTTTAACAGGGATACCCTCCTTCAACACAAATTCTGACTCGTGGCCGACCAGTCCCTCAATTCCGACATCACTTAATGGTTACAAGTACAATCTATTAACGTCTTTTGGGATGAAGCAGCCAGGGTTCGAACCACTGACCTTCCACATATAAACAGACACACTATTCACTATGCCATGAGGGCTGTCTGGCAACAAGAAAAACATGCAGTACGGTTAATTCCCTTCAAGCTAAACTCTTCTTGGCTTTTATACTGGCCTCTTGAGACCCATCAAAAAGTAATACACAGATAATTTTCAATAACTTTTTACTGTTTGTCTGCAAGCAACAAGTGTTTTCGTTTTTTCATTCTGAAGGAACCCACTTCAAAATATCCTTCAATGAAGTAGCTCCTGTTGAGGGGATCATAATTAAAACTGTAACCTTTAGTCAGGAGGAGTAAATGCAATGTTTTTGAAGCATTTTTTATCCTGAGACAGCAGACGTCAAACTGAACCTTCCCTGGAGTCAGAGCAATGACAAGAAGTAGTGTTTGATTAGGTTTTTTATGATTTTGGAAAAATTTCACCATCTCACCTGACGACCATCTGTTTTCTTTCTGACTTGGGGCAGGAGGTTTTCGTGTAGCCCAGTTGGTTCTGATTGGCCGGGAACCTAACCACTGCCCGTTCATATTGGCGATTGCGTTTTCTGCATCCTGAAAAAAAGATGGATTCAAAGTTATGAAGTGCTACTTTATTCCAATCACTTTGTGGCAATAAATCATGTCGAAGAGGGAGAAAAAAGCAGGAAAAAGTTAATAGGAATGGATGAAATCAGGCTGCGTTTTTCGACAAAGTAATCAGAAAATGGCTCTAAGAATAATTTTCTGAACACAACTGGCTCACGTAAATGAAATTCATTGCTGACGTTTATTTAATACAAACGCAACAGGCATGTTTCTGTCCCTGTGAAACTGCATAAATCGCGCGACACTCTTGTCCTGGTGACAGAAAAAAAACTACACCTTCCTCCCAAAAATCAATAAAAGAGCAAAGAAAACAGTAATGAACTCATTTTTTTTGCTCGCTAATTTACATGGAACGGCACAGAAAGCCTGGTCTTGGGTATCTTCACAAGAACATCCTAACACATACAGGAAAGCAATGTTCAGAGTTTAAATTGCAGGTTGTATTGATCAACACATGTTTTTCACAACTGTCTTCGCAGAGCTCAAAGATGGGCTAGAACAGACGTGAAGATGTGAAGCAATCTCGTAAGCAGCAGGGGATCGCGGCAGAACGGAGACAACTGTTGTCACTCCGCTAACGGCAAGGATTCCACACTGCCCAAGTATGTCCCCATCAGCTCAGCTTTTTCAGTTTTCTCCAAGGTGTGACAATTACTACGGCTTTGTGAAGTTGAAATTTTCCATAAAATATCGCCAGTTTGCTTGTCTGTTTCAGGGACACGTGTGATACGGCAAAAAGCTGCCCCTTCAGGCAAGGCTGTGTCGTCTTGATTAAACACTGACTTAGAATTAAGGCTTTATAGGAACTATCCCCATTAAATTGAAGCACACGGAAGAGACTTCCTTCTGATGAGATTTGTGGATATATTTTAAATGAAATGTGTCAGTGTTGGGGGTAAGAATGATGGTACAGACAAACACTGATTCCATTTGTCTGTTTGTGAAAGGCTAAAGGGTTGCTTCCATCACAACATACTGGAAGGAACTGTTCACAGAGGTCGGGGAGTGTAATCCACTGCTTCAGAGTTAAATAATTTCAGAGTACATGAGAATGAGTTTGAAGAGGTGATAAACACAATTCACTCATCTTGACTGTACGAGGGTGAGTGACGAAGTTGGGCTCATCGCCTCTTGAAATGGTGTTTCAGTTATTTCAAGGGTCATCAGCATGGCAAGGAAATCCTGAAGTGACACAGGATGTAGGAAGATGACTTCCACTTTGTCACCATCATACCTATGCTCTCACCAAAGCGGTAAACATCTGAGTGAGTGAGTGAGTGAGCTGGGTTTTGTGCCACATTTAGCAAAATTCCAGCAATATCACGGTTCGGGCGCCAGAAATGGGCTTCGCACATTGTATCCATCTGGGAAATCGAACCCAGGTCTTCAGTGTGACGAGCAAACACCTTAACCACTCGGCTACCACACTGCCTCAGTTAACATATGAGAATCACTTCCAGGTTTTCCACCCCACCGACATGAGCCGACATGCCATGATATAACTGGAATACTGTCAAACCAGCACTAATCCCAACTCACTCACTCACATAGAGGAAACATAAGGCTCTGACAGACTGGCCCTGAAATGGGCACAACATCAGTCAGCATAGCCATGGGATCTCTAGGCATAGCTGCTTATTATCTGGTACTGTCAGATACAAAAGGAATTTGTCAGATACAAGAGGAGGTTTGACAAATGAGCACTAAGCACTGAGCATCAAACCTTGTTTTGCCAAAATGGCAATCACCCTACCCATGAGGCTAGTCCCCAAATAACCCACACCTTTGACTACTCTCTGCAGACATTATATTGCACCATTGGTCCCTACATATAACATGTGACAGTAAGGCAGCAGTGACCCCAGACCTATTTACCCCAAGCTACCAATGTTATCCATTGATAGTAATACCTCCAAACATGTGACACCATCTTGAGACAAAGTGGTGTCCATTACCCTACAGTAAGGCAGCCATACTCAGACACTACAGTACTGTATCACTGTAACCTTTCTGATAAATGAACCCATTTCTACCATCTGGTGTTTTTATCTTCTCCTCCCCCCCAATCCTTGGGCTGTAAATGACCTTTTCCGACATCTTAAAAGCTAAAAGTAAGGTCAAATCATTTGACATTTCTTGTTCAGGAATCTATCATATTTCTCGATCCTGTCCATACAATAAGCTCATGAATTATTCACAAGAAGACTTCCCAGTAAACTGACAGAGTTTGGGTTTACGCCGCTTTTAGCAATACTTCCCAGTAAAAAACAAGAAGTGAGTGGTGCTCGTCCTCATGGTCACCTCAAACAGACAAGTGACCATAAAGCAGACGCGATTCTCAGCTAAATGATTGTGTTCTCGGTGAAATATTCATTAATAACATTAAATATGGCAGCAATTCTCAGAGATTTACTTCTCTATTTCATTACCATACCACAATTAAACCTAATTACCCCATGTTTAAACTGGTTAGGCTTGAGACTGCACCTTAGTGCAATATTACCACGTTGCCAAGTTTATTTGTTTTTTTCCATTGGGTTGCCAAACTTGATCCGTCCTATCTGATAACAATGCCTTTTCCATGACGAGACCGAACACAATACACTTAATTGTCACAAAAATGCTGTTTCTCTTCCATTTTCTATCTATTAATCCTGCAAATGGGAGAACAAATTTGCCCTGCTTGATAAACAATAGTCTGTATGCACGCCGCGCGGAGCTGGGGCGATACGGTGCACGATGCATCCATGTCATGGCTCTGGTTTGTGTATGAGGAGAAGCCTCACCTTCTTCAACTAAATGGAATTACTCCCCGCCAGACAGTTCTGATTTTTATCGGAGCTCTTGGTGAAGCATGGAATCGGTAAACAAACGTGATGAATGGGACAGTTAATGAAGGCATATCATTTTGAATTACCACCATTCTTTTCCATGGGTGCAATCACCAAAAGGAAACAAAACCATTTTCCACACGGCTGCTTCAATATGATTTGGCTTTTACCAAAACAGAAGAAGTGTAAGTTCAATGATTTTTGCCGAGATATTTAACTAGCCAATTCGTATAAAAGCTTGCGGAAAAAGTGTAATTTATTCAAAGTAATTTGACAATACGAGACACATATACCATCCTGGGAAAGAGGAAAAATTACTACCTTTGAGACTATTTATTGACAGCGTGTGGAACTAATTGTTGAATGATACACATCTCTTAGGGAAGCTGTACCTTGGGACCATGGAAAATGACACAATTTCTCCCGATTCCCAGCAATCGTCATGGCAACTGTCGGGATAAAATACTGGCGTGTTCGAAGCCTGTCATTAAGCCCCAATATTTGGGTTGCCTTCCTTTGGCTTGCGTTTTCCTGTCGTGGATACTGTCCATAAAGCAAAACCATTGTCCACTTGGAACTGTTTAAAGGACTGAGAACTTCTGGTGTGGTATATCAAAAGAACGTGTTTAATATTTTCAGGAATAAACTCATGACTTGAGCAGAATGCAACTACGTCAGTTGTCTCCCTTTACATACTGAAAATATCAACATGCAAACCAGCGGGATGGAATGAATTATTCAACCCTTTCTGAAGTCCCAAAGAGAAAATGCTGTTGCAGAAAAAACACACACTTTCACTTGCTGATAATCAGTCAAAATAAAAACTCAAGGGACATTTCGCCTGAGTCATTTTGTACAAAGAGAAATCTATTACACGTTCTCTATTGGAGAACTTCAAAGGCCATATCCTACCCCTGCCTTCCATTCTGCAAGCTTTTTCACTTTCTTGCTGCCAATGTAAGTTGATTAGAGACCTATTACATTTTTTTTTAAACATATAAAGAGAGCATTTATGCAAATTTGGATCTCTTCTCAATGTTACTGTGAGTGAATTTGAACAAAACTGTTTAAATAAATATCAGAAAACATTGACATGATTTCAGAACATTAGGCAAGGATGCCGTAGCATAATAGACATTAATCTTGGTGCTTCTGTTATGACGTTTGATAAATGTAAAACCTAACTGATTGGTACGTTTAGTTGAACTGTAATCACTCATGGTGACTGCTTTGTCGTTTAAAGTCACACTGCCCATTTTGATAAAAACAGTCAAACAGATCTGTCAATATCTGATTCTCTTTTAAAAAAAAGAAGATAAAATTTCAGAGATTTCATGTATATCTGAGTGCGTCAGTGAATAGGATTTTACGTCATCATCAGTGAATTTTGAGCTTTATCAGACCATCATGTGCTATAGCTTCAAGTGAAAAAAAATATATATGCATGTCGCGTTCGAATTTTTCAACTTCAAGAAACTAACCACAATATTTCATTCATAATTGTTTGGTGCAGCAGAGCAGAGGATTTATCTCATGGCCTAATGTAAATATATCATCTTTAAGCACTCTTCCACAAAGAATACAAACAAAAACAATATTCATGAACTGAAAATGAAAATATATTTTTTATAAAAGTGACAAAGACGGACACGTTATTTCATACAAAATAAATGACATGGAATATTTGAGTTTTTAAATTCCAAAATGATATAACAAAACTTAGAACTTATTTCGAAAAGTTTTTAGAGCTTTTGAAATAGGGCCATCAATCTCAACCTTGACAACCCTCTTCCAACAAATGCAAGTGAAATACAAAATATTGGGTTTCATCCCACTGACTACAATGTGTTTGTCAGTCCATTTGTTACTGCTGAAAACACACAGCTTCATCTCACTACCCATAATGCAATTGGGACAATATTAAGTGAAAGCGTGACCCTAAGTAGATCTTTACGTTCAGAAATAGTGGCTTTTCGTGAGTGCTTTAACAAAGCATGGAGCACTGTTGGCTTAATTTGGAACGAACATGAAAGAAAGATATTTGGTGAGAAAAGGGGCGTCTCGGCAGCCATTACTTTCACAATAAAACGACCTGGGTATTACATGGTTTCGCTATATTCAATCCCTCAAAGCCCGTTTGCAGTTCTATCAAGTCCACAATGACACTGAAACATGAAGACTCAAGCACGTGCTACCATTGTTTAAGAAGGGACTGAAGCAAATGAGGGTGATCGCACAACGTTCATTAATGACCAGTGAAAAACAACACGAAGATTATTCTGTTACCAAAGTGACTATTTTTTCGGTGTATATTTCCTTCGCGTCTGATGATCTCACGAGTGTCAATGTTTATATTGACCTCGACAGTCAATGAAAGATATTACCTGGACGAAATATTGCCATTTGTGTTTTTGAAACAAGATACTGATATTGTTTGATAACAAAAAGTAATATTGCCTTCACAAATTTATACCGCTTAAAGATATTAATTTATTACTATTAATAAAGAGCTGACTATAATACCAGATTACTTTAACAGGTAAAAAAGGACCTTTGAATCACAACCTTGTATAAAATATTAATGTTTTTAGTTTGATATTAATCTATCCTGCGAACAAATGACCTTACTTCATGCACAGAAAAATCAATACAAAGTGTTCCATATCACATGCAAGGACATAAATAGTAAAGAAAAGTTAATCTTCACTGCTCGTCCTGTAAGCTGAAGAGTGTGTTATCTGCCGATGAACCTGACGCAAATATCTACACAGAGATGAGGCAGCTATCAAAAGTGCTACGTGAACAATCTTTTCGTGTGTTGAGTTGGTTGCTAGGCTAAACATCAATCGTAAGCAAAGCTGATGATGGAATGAAGTACAAACACCAAGGCCATGGGTATCGACTATCAGTGACACAAGGAAGAGAAATATTGTTACTCGGGTCATATATTGCAGGGGCGGTGGGGTAGCCTAGTGGTTAAAGCGTTGGCTCATCACGCCGAAGACCCGGGTTCGAATCCCACATGGGTACATTGAGTGAAGCCCATTTCTGGTGTCCCCCGCCATGATATTGCTGGAATATTGCTAAAAGCGGCGTAAAACCAAACTCAGTCAGTCAGTCATATATTGCATCTATGTTAACCAGAGGACCAACAAGCCTTGCATGAAAGAGTATGACTGCAGAATGGAACACTAGAACAGACTGGAGGTGGGGTGGGGTGGGGTTTGGGGTGGGTTTGGTGGTGTGTGTGGGTGTCTGTAGCGTGACAAGCAAACACTTTAACCACTAGGCTACCCCACAGGCCAGGAAACTGGATGAAAAGGATAGTTATCTCGCGGAGTTGGTAATTGCATGTTATTGTATCCTTATTGCGCGGATCAGTGCTCATGTCAACACTCCATTGTCGGGTCCAGACTGGTTTATTTACAGGCTGCTGTCACAGACCTTGAACACTGCTGAGTATATTTTCTAAAATTAAAATATACTTTACCATTGGACTCATGCAATAATACGTTAACTAAGCAAGAAAGCCTCCTTGTTGGTCCAGAAGTGATAGAAATACAAACCACCCAATGATGCAACAACTTCAGATACAACTATAAGAATATGAATTAGTAAATTATTATTTCAAATATGGTAGTCTGTGCTGACATTTACACTAGATATGAGTTATTGAAAAGCCAAGATAAATCCCTGATCATTCCTGAGCTTAAACAAATAAATTGAAACAACTTTGATTTCAGTTTAGAACAAATTGGGCTGTTACATAAGACTTTCCTACAACAAATGTTATCCACATTTAAATGCATTTACTGACATTTAGTTCCATAAATATAGATTCTTATTTATAAATATAAAGTTAAAAAAAACAAACCCAGTAAACAAAAAAACGCAATCCCTATAGAGCCCATAACCATGCTGAATTTTGGTGTTATCTAAAGTTGTAGTCATTTTCCAACTGAGTTGCACTACCATTTTTATACATTCTCTAGGGTCTGGCAGACAGACTAATAAACAGACTAAAGTAGGGGGCAGGAACTAGCTCATTTTAGTCACTATCTTTTATGATATAGCTTTCTATTCAGATTTGAAAATTGTCCAAATTTATCAATTTCTACCAGTTCTATGGACATCTTACCATCATAAATATTTGTCAGGGTTATTGGTCAAGGTCTATGTTCGAACACAGAAGTAGTCTTAAGCAAAGGTCCAAGCACACTTTGCTTGTGAAAATGGGACGAAAACAAAATCATAAATGCTGATGTAAAATTCCTTAGAGCAATCCACAAATCTGGGAATAAAGAATTATCTCCTGAAAGAGATTGGTTGGCCACATTTCAATACTCCAATGGCGAATACATCATGCCATGAATTGACCGATTTGGAACCTATTGGCGTATAAAAAGGCTTTGCAATGATCTACAACCCTGATGGGAAAATTGATGTAAATATGGTTGCCATTGTTGTAAAGTGAGTTGTAATGGCAATAGTTGTGTGAGTACAACTCCACGGAACAAAGCCACCATGACCTAGCTGCCTCATTAAGAGGTCACGGGTCGCCACAATGTCTGAAGAAATCCAGCAAGGGAATCCATAGCTTAGCTTAACCTGCCGATATTTCTCTAATGATTGGGAGGAACGTGGTGGACTCCATGATCACAGGAGTTCCTGACAACCGGGCCTTCCTTGAAGCACACTTACTCAGATACGTAAGACTCGGATCAAGGGCAGGATTTGGTAGATTCTCACTTCAGACAAATTTCCTATCTATGGTATATATTACAATGGCATTTCTAGGTTTCCACAAATTAAAGAAATGTTAAGTAGTGAGATATTTTATTAACTGTCCGTTCCTTAATCCTAAAATAAATACAGACAATAAAGAAAGACTAAGAATAATACTGAGTGTCCAAGAGGCAAGTGAGATAATAGGACAAAATAAGCCCTTTGACGAGTGAGTATGCTATTTATGCTGCTTGTGGCAAGATTCCAGCAATGTGACCTAGCATTGATATGACATTTTGTTTCTTGTAAAACGCCACGCTCTGCAATATTCCAGCTAAATGAAGACCACCTGAAAATTTATGAGTGAGTGAGTTGGGTTTTACGCTGCTTTTAGCAATATTCCAGCAATATCACGGCGGGGGGACACCATAAATGGGCTTCACACATTGTGCCCATGTGGGGATTCGAACCCGGGTCCTCAGCGTGACGAGCTGACGCTTTAACCATTAGACTACCCCATCGTCCATGAAAATTTATTAGGCTTGGACAAGACAATCCACTGATAATACTGCGAGCAATTCACGATGATACCCCCCTACACTTAGTTGCAAAGCCTGATCACCATTTGGTTGCTGATTAAAACCAGGGATTTACCTTGAGTCCTGGACAACAAAATGGGGGTCCCAGACACTTAAATATTATTATTAATACTGTTATTGTATTGTGTATCATGATCATCACGTGCACATTGTTACTGTAATTAAATTGCAAATAATACCATAACCCAGCTAGTAGTTGGATTTTTCACAAAAAGTATCTGGACTTTTTCTGAGTCCCTGTGGACGCTAATAAATTTTGTTGCATCCATTGTCAATTTTTATGTATATAGGACACAGGAATTCGTGTCCTGTAAATCCCTGTTAAGACCAGCATACGTGAATGGGGCCCTAACCCAACATTCCCATGACTTGTAGTTGTACACCTACGAAAATCATCTAAGGATTTGATCCAGATCTTACAAGTCATGTGAAAACCAAGACAGCCATCGTTAACTGAGGATTTGTCGTTCCAAGGTTTGTGGGTGCTTCCTGCCCTATTTTTCTGACACCTGAGGGGCTGACCAAAATATGGAGGTTAACAATGATTTGCTAGGTACTGTATCTTCATCACTACCTTAAGGAATTACACTGGCTTAACATACTGCTGCCACACAGCCCTGGGTCTGGGGTCCTGCGGGATTAAACTGATGCATGGGCGTGTCCCACAGGGCGATCAACTTGGTAGAAGTCGGAGGAGGAGAGTTGAAATGGGGGTTCATGTGTCATTCAAGTTGACGGCACTTATACAATGAGCGAGCACATGCGTCTGTGTCAATATTAACATGTATGTAGTGCTTGTATTTGTCTGGACTTATGCCAGATCTATAGTGCCAGTAGGTTCATTGCTGCTGTTAAACATTAATACCCGACTCCAGACAAAGTATACAGTCTCCATGCCAACCAGTCTGTTTTATCCCAAGAGTCATGCAAGGTAACAACAACTACCATTTTTGCCATGCAAGGTAACAACATGCACCATGTTTTACGCCTTTTGGTATCTTATGGCTCAAGAGCGAGTGAGTTCAGTTTTATGCCGCACTCAGCAATATTCCAGCTATATGGTAGGGTCTGTAAAAAATTGAGTCTGGACCAGACATCCAGTGATCAACAGCATGAGCATCCATCTATGCAATTGGGATGCGATGACATGTGTCAACCAAGTCAGCGAGCCTGACCAACCGATACCGTTAGTCACCTCTTACGACAAGCATGGGTTACTGAAGATCAATTGTAAACCGGATCTTCACGGGTTATGGCTCAAGATCAAATCTGACCTTTCCTTCTCTGGACAAAAGCCCAATCCACTACAGCATGGAGGCAGTCTTGAAATCATTGAATGGAGAGTTAAATGTACTCACCACTTTGTTTACAAATGAGACGAAGCCATATCCTTTGGATTTCATAGTCTGTGGGTCTCTGATGATCTTACAATCTCTGAAAGACAAAACAGAAGGATATGACATTTTTTATTCTTCCAGTTCTACTTTTCGAATGGAAATAGAACAGTGTGATATATGAGTGATCCAACATTTATGAATGTTTTCCATCATATTCTCCATCTGATCCTTATAGGTAATAAATATTTTCATACCCTATTGCGATATATGAGTGATCCAACAGGGCTATATTACTCAGTATAAGACTGACTGACTGAGTTTGGTTTTACGCCACTTTTAGCAATATTCCAGCAATATCACGGCAGGGGACACCAGAAATGGGCTTCACACATTGTACCCATGTGGGGATTCGAACCCGGGTCTTCGGCGTGACGAGCCAACGCTTTAACCACTAGGCTACCCCACCGCCCACTCAGTATAAGAACAGTCTGGTCACTAGATTCACTAGAATTGTTCTGACAACTTAACCACAATTTGTTTTTCATCTTTTTAAATCTTTTGGAACGAAAAGTCTCCATAATAAAATTCAACATTACTAATGACGCCAGTTGGGATTGATGTTACCAGAAACATTCAATCTTCTAAAATAAACTTATCGATGCAACCATTTTCTGTTTAAACATGTAAAGAAGCAGACTGAATACCAGAACATAATTTGCTTTAAACAGGATGTAAATTGGATTTTATTTCCAAGAAAAGGCACGACCCTTTTTTAAACATACATTAAGCACATTCTCCAAAATAAATTTATCATCTAACTTTCTTTCACCCAGTCATAAATCATGGCTCCTCCGCTTCCTGCTGCGATGCTGGAAAAGCTGTTTATTGCGGATTTTGACGATTATTTTTAGCGTCCCTGCACCCTCATATTTCATATCTAATATCTGACATTTTGGGAAATCATCTAAAAGTAATTGACAAAGAAATAAATAATTATGCTTAAGAACAAGACGCCCTTTTGAGGAACTTATCATCGGGGGCATCAGCTCCATAAATAAGGGTCTGACTTGACCACGTATTGATTGATGTCTTAAGACCAAGGAATGCATGCGTAGACTACCCACACAAGCGTATCATCCACCAGTGATATTATCAACATTTCAACAACATCATATCAGACAAAATCTCACAACACATGGCCAGGCTCGGTTTCAGGTAATAATGTGTAATTTCTAGCTCCGATGTCTATCGTTGGGCAAAAGGCAGTTCTAATACAATGTAGATAGCGGGTTAATTGGAATAAGACCAGATTTCCATGAGAAAGTAGGGTCGACAGGGAAATGACTTATGTTTATTTGTCGCGCCATGATGAGTATCTAGCATTCCTTTAATAATTAACTTACAGGAACCAGACCTGCAGAAACTGATCACTCAGTGATGATATTTGAAGTTTTCTTGGCTGTGATATCATAACCCTGGGTGGATATTAACACCATACGGGATATTTGTGTTTTGCAATTTTGAAAACAGACCAAGGGGGTATACGTAAAAAAGTAATTGTGGAAAACAATCTTGAAGCTGTGTGGCCTCATACTGTTTCAGTATTTATTTTGAGATTTAAACCCGATAGCTAAAGCAGCAGGGCTTTTGGTAATCCATAGAATCAGTTTGAGGTAAACCTTCTACCATTTTCTTACGTTTTCTAAATACCAAGTATCACTCTCTGAGGCAATTATGGATAAAAATGCTCGACCTGGTTCATTTTTGTCCATCTTTCTTGTCAATGGGATTACAATGGCGAGAAATTTAACAACAATCTTTTTTATAGCTGATTTTCTTAAAAAACATAATATCTTAATACAATTAAAAAAAATGTTTTTGTACTGAAAGAAACAGAGAAAATGCTTTTTCAACACAGGTCTCGGAGAGATTGATCTGTAAATGAAATACAAACTGAGAGGTTGATGGCTATCAGAGTTAGATGTTTTTTTCACGTAAGTCTAACTGAAGTGAATCAGTTCCTCATCGCAACAGATTGGGCGAATTGAAGAGTAATATTGATGCAATGGTAGACATCCCAACCATCTTGAGAACCTACACTAACACATTCTTCAGTAACTACAATAACGTGAGTGTAACGGAAACATGTGAACACCGATGTGCCTCCTCCATGTTGACCATAAACACCCGACAATGGCCTGCCCTGGCCTGGTAGTAACCCACCACTTTACAACCACCTTTCAAGACGGGCGGAGTGTAAAGACAATTTGCAGGGGCCTAACCGAATCAAATATAAATAAAAAGAATTGTTCTAGAGCGAACTGCCATGGCAAGGAAACATAATAGGATCAATCATACAAGGTTATGTCATATTTTCCCCTCTACTGTCACATGAAAAGATTTCACCGAGCAACACTCGACCAGAAGTGTAATGGAAACTTCTCAAAGACAGCACGTCAACCCGGGCTTACAGACTGAGCTCCTGACAGCAGGCATTAATACTGGGAGATAATAAATGGTGAAAACCGCTCAGCTTCGATTGGACTTTATGAAAGTGTGCTGTGTCTTATTTGGATATTTTTAGTGTAATTGCCAATATGAAAACTGCATAAACGGAATTGATGTTAAACTTTACAGCTCCAGCTCAGTTCTGTAATCAAATTTTTAACAATATTTGGCGAGTTATAAAGTAAATCTGAATGGCATTAGGTTAATTCGGGATTTGATAAAATGTTGATGGATTGTTTTCCAAGTTTGTGGCAAGAAGCAACACGGATCGGCATTCCACCTGGTGATCTGTTTCTGCTAGGTGGAACGTATCACGTGGCAAAAGACCCTCCAGCCTTGGAAACAAGACCTTCTATTGTTCAAGAATGTGGTGATTGAGTCTGGTCTGTGCCTAATACACTGTGCTCTACTGTAAATGATTAAACACTGAAAGAATCGATAGTATGCGGAGGTTCCAAAAACTTGTTTTCAAATTGAAAGAAATAACAAGGGAGAACATCATCTTCCGAAGCATCTAACTGCCTGCACTTCGTGAGAGTGCCGTCCTCTTGGGGTCTGGTGATGCCAGCCTTGGCTCATAATGGGAGTATTGATTTGGGCTTAGGCAGAGTGAGTGAGTCAGTTGGGTTCAGTGCCAGGTTTTAGCAGGGCTGCTTCACACATCAGAGAAGCACTATCTGAGTTAGGTTCAATGCCATTTTGAACAAAATATCACTCATGTCATTGCATGTTACTTTAAAGTTCGAGGGAAGACTAAAGTGAATGAGTTTAGCTTTACGCCACATTTAGCAACATTCCAGCAATATCACGGCGGGGGACACCACAAATGGGCTTCACACATTGTGCCCATGTGGGGAATCGAACCCGGGTTTTCGGCGTGACGAGCGAACGCTTTAACCACTAGGCTACCCCACCGCCCCCCTTAACCACTAGGCTACCCCACTGCCCCCTAATACTAACGTGGCAGGTCTATGACGGTATGGTGCTGACAAACAGAATTATAATCAGGGCAAAAGTGGGATCTGATACGACTCAGGAATGTATCTGCATAATTAATCGCATCAGCTCAGATGACTGTAGTACCTCTGACCCTTACACAGTCTCATAAGGTCGGAGCTCACGTTGTCTATATGATGACTGCACCTATCAAACTTTTAGCATGGTCCTGGAGGAACCAAGGTGTCATGCCCTTTGCATGATGGACAAAGGTATCGGCACACTGCACCCTTGTCCAGTATCAAACTGTTTTCAGAGTGACAAGGGAACGCTTTAACAGTGGGCGCAGCTTGAGAGGCAAATGGATAGAACGGAATCTGAACACTGCGTTTGAAATAAGTGCCTGTTAAGAGGCCCGTGCCTTGTAGTTGATGTGTCGTAGTTTCAACACTGTACACGTCCTTATGGCCCGTAGTAAATTTACGTGTCCATTTATTTGGCACAAAAGCTGCCTTTTTTTTTTTTAATGAGCCCCTGAAGAGTTTAGTCAGGACCCGCAGCTTTTGAAGTCTGTGGGTCCTGATGGAAGCCTGGCATTTATTTTATTCCACTGTATGAAAAGTCTTCAAACTTGTCACAAAGATGTTAGGATAATGATTTGGAACAAGATAAAAGCTGACCGATTGGCAGAGTGAAAATACATCGGAACTCACACACTTGTCATATTTTCATTAGACATAACGTTATGCTACTGGTCTAGGTCTCACTGGTAGAGGTTCCCCTTCAAATAAAGATAGACCTGTCTCCATGGTCTGGTGCACACTTCCTGTCTTGATCTAGACACTGAAATTAGAGGGCTGATGAATCTGAAATGCTGTCGCTTTGATAAGGGTAACATGATCGCGATCAATCATCATCCTGCACAGACGAGGAGCGTATTTTGGTCAACCAAACACAGAGGTCAGGATACAATATGTATCTTTTGGAATTAGTGGAGTAAATTAAACTGACAGAATCACCCTGACATACCTTTTCGACTTTTTGCTAATTTTGATTTCAAAACCCTACCGCTACATTAACCTTAAAGGCAAAGAGTGAGTGGGTTTAGTTGTATGCTGCTTTTAGCAATATTCCAGCAATGTCACGACAAGGGGCACCAGAAATGGGCTTGACACATTGTACCCATGTGGGGATTCGAACCCGGGTCATCAGCGTGACGAGCCGACGCTTTAACCATTAGGCTACCCCATCGCCCCACCCCATTAATGGAAAAGATGTTTCTGTATTGAGTTGATAGTGCAGCAAGTACCAGTATATGAAATGATATGCACTGTTTAGCTTACTATCGCCAGTGAGGAGGGAAAGCTTAATGGTGATGATCTAGGTTCCTGGTGAGCAACGGGGCGCAACTCAGAAGAGCAAACTGTGGCAGCATGGTCACCAGAAATGGGCTTCACACATTGTACCCATGTGGGGAATCGAACCCTGGCAAACCAAGCATGATTGTGAGGATGCACAGCAGGAGTTCGGGTATCTTCAAAGACAGCCCAGTCTGAACATTGGCCTCCAACAGGCTACTCATGACTTATGCAAAGTCATGTAACCGTCTAACGACAATCTTAGTAAGCCTTTGTTACAGTGTGTGAGTTATGG